AAGCTGCTAGCGACCTGACCTCTGCCCCCAGTGCAGGGAAAGAGCATGTATGTTCTGCTGGGATCAGGTTCTCCACCTCGGACAAGGGAAAATAAAGGCTTTGTTTAAAAATAAAGACATCACTCTCTGGTTTGTCAGTGGTACTGTACGTTTTCCCCTCTGCCACTCTGTGTTTACAGGCATACAAAACCAAAAATAAATGTATGAGGAAGAGAGAAGAAGGTCAGAATATCAAGTGTCAAAAGTAGCCCATGAAATTTTATTGGTGGTGCATTTAATCAGTGCTAAGCATTTTTTACAAGGTACATACAAACAGTGGAATTGTAAAAATTTATGGAATGCTGTGTACAGTGTGGCCGTTTATGAAGAAAGGAAAATTTATATCCAGTTGAAATAAACCAAAGGGGAATGCTTTATGGAGACTCCTCAACATCAAGTGAGATCTGGGTAAGGGGAGGATGGGGGTATTTGCAGGGGCTTACTGATCTTTGAGGTGTTTTTCTGCTTCTTCAGCAGCTAACAGTTTGCATCTTTCTGTGGCTCTCAAATAGGCAGGATTCTGGATGCAGTGATGGTATGGTGTTTTGGTTTTTTCTGTACAGTGGAAAGGAAACACAAGTGAACAGCTGCTACTGGTATCTCTGGTATGAGGCCCTCGCTCTTGGGCTCATTCCAGTCCAACAGTTTCTTGAGCAGCCCTTAATATCCAGCTGTGAAGGGTTAACTGAAGCCAATCACTTTGACATCAGCATTTTTTTGTTTCCTTTTTGGTCCAGTATTTTGTTGATGATAAAGCACAGACTTAGTCAATTGAGAGATTCCAGAGCTGCAGAATCAGAGATAATTTAATTAACGGAATTGCTTGTGATTGCCCACTGGGACAGCGGGTAGGAATTGCTCGATTTAATTTGGAGAAACAAAGATCACATGCATGCTAATGTTTAACAAATAACCAGTGTTTGGGTTAAAGTTTTTTTTTGCCAAGAGGGGGCAGCTGATGCCCAGGGGAGATCTCCCAGGAGGTGATTGCTGAGTAACAGCTCAAAGCTACAGATAGGTCCTTTTTCCTCTTCCACGGTATTTTTGTGCCTTCCTTCTGGCCTTTTACCAGAACAAAGCAAGGATTTGCTCAGAGGAAGAAAGTTTGTTCTTATTTTCAGTGCTCAGGGGAAAATGCTACGAACATTAGAAAAACATACAGTGGGCACAAAGACTGAAAACTGTAGTCTTGCTCTCTGGTACCTAGCGTCCTCAACTGTGACTGCCATATTGTTGAAGAGTTAACCACAAGCTCCAGAGGGAAGTACAGGACTAAGCTTCTTCCACGAGGAGCCCTCCCTTCATGTTTTTGCTCAACATTCTCACTCAGTCTCCCCTGTTTGTGGTGATGTAGGTCCAGAGCGAGTAGAGCGTGGATGTGCCCTCCTGATACGTCCTGAGCCAGGGAGGACAGTTCAGGTGTCGGCGAGGCCGCGGGCACCTGCCGGAGAAGCGCCAGCGCTGGGGCTCGAGGCGTTGCTGTTGGCAGCAGTTGTGCTCAGCAGATCTCTCTGGAGGCTGATAAATGACGTTATCCAAACACGTCAAATCAGAGCGCTGAGGCGCAAAATTGTTAAAAAGAGTCTGCCTACATCCAACACGAGGTCAAGACAAAGCGGGGAGAGCAGGGCTGTGGAAGCCAATTCCTTCTTCCCTGTAATTCCCTCTGCCTCACTTGGCAGGGTAACTTGTACGCAGCCTTGCCCTGTCCGTGGAGCTTGGCTCTCTGACCCTCGCTCCACCCCAGCGTTACCTTGTAAAAATACTGCCCAGGCTGCTCCCAGCTGTGTCCGGGCAAGCGCGCACGAGGCTTACACACAAGACAGAAGCCTGAGGGAGTTCCCAAGATTGCTGCTGCAGGAAGAGTTGCTCCTAAGCGATGCTTATCTTTAGGATACAAGCAGCAGGCTGACGGTAAAATGTCACTAAATGGAATGGCATGTGTCCCAAGTGTGCTGGCCACCACGGGAGCCAGACACATGGGAAGTGACTCTCGTCTTTATTCCATCCCTGGAGGTAGTTCCAGTTTCCTTTATTTACTAATGTTCTCCCTATTTCCCTTGACCTCATTTCCTCCGGCTTTTCGGAAGCAACCAGGCAATTATCGCTCACTTTGGGTTGACCCTTGGCCACTACGTCCCTGGTTGCTGCTGTTCCAAGAGGCTTTCCTGAAATCTCAAGTGCAAAATACTCATTTTTGGCCAAAGCCTCTCTCGTGAGATAGGAGCTGCATCTTCAGCACTACGCTGGGTGTCAGGATTTTTCCTGAGAGCACGCTTGGCGGGGAGAACATGGAGTTTAAAGTCTGTCACAGCTGAGCTTTGATCAGCGCTGGGAGATATTGCAGTGACTAACGTTCCCTCTCTTACCAATGCACCCCAGTCTTGTTAATAAATGTATATTTAACAATGTCTGGAGCGTATGAAGTGATAATAACTAAATCAATACCTCCCACATTGATTGTCCAGGATCCCTACAGCGTGACGCACGCAGTGGTGCGGTAATTTTCCAGCTAACTAGCACCCTGATCTACAGCCCTCCTATTGATTGGCCATTGTATCAGGCAGCCTCTGAGCATTATTGCTTATACCTCTATTCAGCCTCCTTTTCTGATTCATTCGTTTATTACTGGACAGGTGCGATTATCTCAGAGACTTTCCGAAATTGGCCGATGGGGGTCAGCCATATAGACTTCTATAAACAAGCCATTTTCTATCTCCTCTTCTTGTTGCAGTGGCAAATTTTTCTTTTTCAAGCTTTGACTGTTATTGGGCTGGGACTGGGGGTGAATTGGCCTTTGCTTGCATCTGCTCAAGGAAGCAACTTTTCCCTTTCCTTTCTGAGTCACCTGCCCTTCAGAGGAGGACGGATAGCTCCACAGATAGTGATAGGAGAACTTAGCAAGGGTTGAGGTTCTGCTTGCCACCTGCTTTGGGCAGGATCCGTACTCGCTGCCTTTATACCTCCAGTGCCCTTATGCATGCAGGAAGGAGAAACGGATTCCAGAAATCAAATTCAACTGCAGCCTTCATCCAGCATCAGCTTGTTGATGGGCCAGACTGGAAGGGAACAGCTTTCTCATCTGACAGTAATCTTCAAGCTATAAATAAATAATTTTGTTTCTTCCTTGAACAAAACTAACACCTTTCTAGACTTTCTTTGAAAACACTAACAGCTCTTCCTTAAGGGTGAGAACCCAAGCTGGGATATGATAACAATTTATGCCACTGAGTAGGAGCAAGTGGGTGTTTCGCAGCCAAGAGCACTGTCTCCTACTGAAGCTCTTCCATTTTGCTCCAAAGAATATTTGTTGATACCAAGACTTGAATGTACCGTGTCGGTATCCCCAGGCAGTCCTCACGCACTGGGCTCTCATGGGACATGTGTATTTCTTTGTCTTTTTTTGCAGTTTTAAAATAGTTACCATTTCCTAGCAGCTGTCATTTGCAATGAATCTCTGATGAAGTTCTCTCCTTGGTTAGCTCCTGTAGAGTGTCTGGGCTGTACAAAGGTAGGAGTGATGTTGGAGGAGCTTCATAACACTCGTACTTAACAACATGCACTCCTGCAGCTCTGGTTTCTTCTGAAGTGTTGTAATTAGAAAAATCACTCAAGATCTTTTCAACCAGCTCTGTTTCCAGAGCCTTGGGAAGAGCCAACAGAATCACCTCGTGGGAGGTATCTTGGGTCCCTCCCTGCGTGCCGGTGCCAAGTGACTAATGAACAAAGGAGTGAGTGTGTGTGTGCAGCGGGAGGGCTGAGACTGCAGCTCACAGTGTTGGCCGTAGTAATTCCACTGGACCCATGTTTTAGCCACTTGTTGATGAATCATCCTTTAAAAAGGTAGAACACATACGTGCCACTGTGCGTTCTGTTGTGATTGGTGCAGCTTCTGGGACTCTTGAGGTTCTTCTGAGCTGGAGTCTGATTCGACAGGCCTGAAATTCACTGACATACATGAAAATTGCTGGTTTGTTTTGTTTCTTTGCAAGAATGAAAGCCTTAATGTCAATGCAATACTCTAAACCTTTTCTGGGGAATGCTTGAGGGCCCCTCCCTACGTCTGCACTGTGTAGAAATCAGATTTTGCAGCATGCTGGAGTGACACATCCTTGTCTATAATGCTCTCTGCATCTCATTTGCTAAGCATTGCTGTCTGCCCTTGCTTTTAGGTTGGCAAGTTGCTCTTTTCGCCAGCCTTGCAGAACCATGAAAATACACTTTCCTGCCCTCAGCACAGCGCCTCTGTGACAAAAGAGATAATGCTGCCCATCAAAAATGACCCTAGGAAATGGGAAAGCAGAGATTGTAAAGCTACTTTTATAGCTACCCTGCTGGCACAGTGTCCATTGCTTTTGGTTTCTTCTTTTTTTTCAGTATTAGAACCCAAAAAGCTAGGGGTTTCTTTAATATAAAAGCATTGTGTTGATCCTGTGTAATGAGCTGATTTTGTGTTTCACAAGGTTGATGACCAGAAAACATTTCCATTCTCTAAGGGGAACGGCAGCTCCTATTGCCCACAGAAGTTAGCTCTCACCAGCTTTAGAGCGATGTACAGAACTTTGTCCAAACCATTTGGTCCTAACGAATCTCTTAAGGGAGACAATAAAAAAGGCAGGGGAAAAAGAAAAACAAAAACAACAACAAACAAACAAACAAAAAAAAAACCCAAACAAAACAAATCTGTTCTTCAAATGTCCGTGTCTTGCGGAAACGTGCTCTGTATGGAGCCGGCAACCCAAGCCCTATTGTGTTCTGTCATGATGTGTTTGGAAGTGTTTAGTAGGACACCTCAAAGAATTCACACTGGGCTTTTCAGGAATTCTTCTTCACCCCAAGTTGGATGTATTAGTTCAAATATTGCCATTTCCTGTGCAGTACCTGTTGTGGGATCCTTTTTGCTCCAAACTCTTAACAATCTTGTGTGCTCAGTGATGCTCACTCTCCATCATCTTTTTCAGAATTACAGAAGACTCTGCAGTGACAACATTTGAAGCGTTAAAGGCTCGTGTCCGTGAGTTAGAAAGGCAGCTTTCCCGTGGGGACCGCTATAAATGTCTCATTTGCATGGTGAGTAGCACTCCACTTGTGGTAATGAATCAGAAATATCTTGGTATCTTTGCTGAGGAGGAGAAGCTTTTCTTCCTTTTGGGGTGGAGTGGGGAAACTCAGCTTTGTCCCTGGACAGCAATTAGTCTTCCAAATGAAGGTGCTAGGTCTTCTTTAGCAATTGAAATTTTTGCATGCATTATATTGTTCCACTGGTATTTGCAGCTGTCCTCCTGTATCAGCCCCAACTTTGGAAGACTTTCAGCCTTTCTATAGAAAACTCCCAGATGCCAGCGTCCTCTTCCTGCACGTGCAGATTTACATACATAGCAGAGGGTAGAATCTGTATTCTAAGACCCACCGTATGATTTGGGAAAAGGAATGTTGCATGAGCATTTAAAAGTTGTAGATGTCCTGCTTGCTCTGTGGTGCTGCTCTGGCCTTCTTAAAGAAGGACAGCAGCTCCCTCTGATGGTCTGAGCCTGCAAAGCTTTGCATCTCCTGTTAGGTTTTTATTCTGCTGATAGCAGGAGAAAATTCTGCTTGGTGGAGGTCTCCCTCTGAAACTTCAGCTTGATGCATGATGTTCTCTCTCCCGGCTCAACGACTTGTAGGTGTGGGAGTGTAGTCCCCGTCTCTTGTCCCACAGAAGGACAACAGCTTGCTGCTGATTTCCAGAGGTTTATTAGCAATGATAGAAAATACTCAAGAGAAGACATGTCTGCTGAAATAGCAGCAGCATTTTTGAAATGTAGTTAAGCTGTTCCTGCAGAGCTAAGAGTTGTGATAAGGGTTAATCTTACCCTGTCACTGGGGTTTTGTATGATCTGGTGACCTTTCTGATGAGAATAATGGCAGGTGGCCACAGCAACTTCAGATGCTCTTGCGATAGCTACGCTGAGCCAGGTCACCACTTGAGTGGATGATGGGCTTCCAGGAGTTCTGGGAAGCCAGAAAAATGGACTGCAGGAGACTTTCTGCATCTACTACACAACTATTACAAAAATACAAACTTGCATATTACACAAGCTTTTTTTTTTTTTTTTAAAATGCAAAATACAAGGCAATGTTACACGCAAAGAAAGGCATTGTGATGGGGTTGGCAGTGAAGAATCAGTTGATCCCTGATGTGGAAATAACCTTGTTTGCTTCTTTTCCTCAGGACTCCTACACAATGCCCCTGACTTCCATTCAGTGCTGGCACGTGCACTGTGAAGAATGCTGGCTGCGGACTCTGGTGAGGCTCTCGACTACTTTCTTGTTGACTTACAGGCTTTTTTCTCTCTTCTGGGACACTTTATTTTAAATCACCACAGGGAAAAGTGCTTTTTGCTTTAGTTTAAACAGTCTGAGTGCTGTACATGCAGACTTCTCAAGCCTTGCCATTTAACACCCCACTCTAGTTTTGACTTGAGTTTTATTTGAGTCATCGTGACCAAAGTGAAGCCCTGCCCCTTGCTTGCCCCCTGCCCCAGAGTTCTGCTGCCATGGGGACAGCCGTTGCTCATGTAAGAGCTCTGTGCCAAGGACAGCCTTGCCTTACAGTAATTTCCTTTGGGGCATCCATGCAGAGAGGTAAAGCTGTGAGAATGGAGGCCAAATCCACTGGGATTTCATGGGATGGGCAGCTTCTGAGAAACCTAATATTCCCCTGAAGCAAAGGGAATCATCTTCAGGATAGAGGATATGGAAGGGAGCTTTTATGAATATGAATCTATATTTTTCAGATTATTTGAAATAGCACTGCGTAGTTTTCAAGCATATGCCATTCTGTTTGGAAGATTGGGGACTATCTTGAACATTGAATAGGTGACCCAGTACAGTAGTAATTTATACATGTATTAAAGGACATCAGGTTAAAATTTAAGGTGTTATTAAATAAGGTGTTTTCCTTTCCTGTGTTAAAACTGTGGGCTTTATAATCAACTTTTAATGTCCCCTGTGCAACTGATTTTCAAGCTTTCATTTTGCTCAGGTTGGGGAATGGAAAATAGTCACTTGTGCTTTCTAGTCTTCCTGTTAGCAAGATGATACAGTGTTGGATTGCAAAAAATGTAAGGGAATGCCACTCCTGAAAACTGTTCCTGTAAGGCATTGCAAAATCTACTTTATAGAACACGTTGTGTGCTTGGAATTACGATTAAGCTGATCGTGCTCCTTTAAAATCCTGCCTTTTAAAAGTCTTGTCCAAGAAAAGTTACCAGGATGGTGAAGTGCCTGTGGGCTTGAGTACTAATAGCAACTCAATAACTTGGCTATCCCTCAGGCTGTATTTTATAGCTCTTCAGCTACACCCCGTCACTATTTAGATTATACAAGCTTTTGTAAACATTTTAGCAGCATGTTATAAAAGACACATATGTGGGTAACATAGCTGTGAGGTGTTTGGATGAATGTGTGCTCTGCCACCTTTGCTAAGTGAAGAGTAATCTTGTCCTTCAGCAGTCCTACAAGCAGAGGACAAAACACTAATTTCTTTTTCATTTTCTTCACTCGGAAGTCTTTGTCCTCTCGTCTTCCCAGCAGCTTCAAGTTATCTGCTGTATCCGTGGCACCGATTTCAGGCTGTTCTTAGGCTCAGCAGCAACTTAGTTCAACTTCAGTCAGGCCCTTGTGTTTGATGTGCAGCGGTCACGGCTGCTCATGAGATCGGGGCAAGCCCACTCCAGGTGCCCCGGGGTTACCATTTACCCTTGCTGAAGGGGAGCCATTTCCCCACTAGAATTCCGTGAGGAAGGTGGGGGGGAAGGAGCTGCCCATGTGCTATCCACACGTCTCTTCTGCCGACCAAGCAGGCGGAATGGGAATAGGCCAGCAAGACATCATGTTAGGACTTGGCACTTGCAGAGGGGAAGCAATTAATAAGTGGCTACTCATGTGTTACCCAGTCCTAGCCTCTCCCTGCAGCCCCCAATTTATTAAACCAGGCCTTTTCACAAGGCATGCTTGCACTCCCTCTCCTGTCTCAAAAAAAAATCTCCCAGCCTGTGTTCGCATGTTTCTAATGTAACCATTAAAATGTAGCCCGAAGACAGCAATAAAAACCCTGGAACGCCTTGGTGCTTTTGTGTCTTGATCAAAGTCAATGTGTGTAATCTCGTTAAGACTGCCCTCCTTCCCCCCTCCTTTTTTATGAATTTAATGGCATACAGCAGCTGGGCTCAGTGTTTAATGCTCACCAACCTGCATTGTTCTAATTAAGGTATCTCCTTTTATTTCGGGCACAAAAGAGACTCTTGTTTTTTTTAACAAGCGAGGAGCTGTGGGATAGTGTGTGTAATAATCGCTGCTGTTACCTTTCCCTGGGTATAAAGCTGGCTCCCCAGCGGGGGCGGGAGGAGGGAGCCTGCGCGTGCAGCACACATGGAAAGACTTGACTGGGGGAGAGGGGCAACATTTTTCTTCTGTTGTGCAATAAACAATTTGTTGGAGTTAATAGGAGTTGGGGCGGGCGGGTTGTGTCGGGCTTCCGGCCCCGTTTGAACATTCTGGAGATCTGCCATCCCTGCTGGTGAAAAGTCCTCTTTCCCCTGTGCGCCTGTGGTTTATATGCCCAGCCGAGATCTAATATTAAATTAGAGTGTGAGTATGTCTGAGAGAGAGGGAGGGAGGACCATGTATTGAACAGGGCCCTGGAACTGAAGGCTCAGAGTGCCTGGGAGCATTTCTAAACCTCTGCAGGGTATTGAAGAGTGGGTGAAATTTGATGCTTGCGTCTGTCTATGGACCAAAAGAGGTGAAGTGGTTTTTAAAAGGTTTAAGGTTTAAACATTTTCTGGGATACGATGCTACAATGATCTGAGCATCTCTAGTATCCTCTGACTTCCATCATATCTAGGGCACCGATGAGGACTGAATCTTTAAAGCACTTAGACTTTCTGAAAATACAGTTTTTGGACTTTTGACTCTTAATGTCTGGTTCTAAATTATGACTGTTCTGTTGCTAAGGCAGAGGGGGAGACATTTTTAACCACCAACTCCACAAATGGTTGCTGGCTCTCTAGCTTAGGTACTGTTATACTAGAGCTCAGTGCATCAAACTGGCTCCAAGCTCTGGGGATGAAACATTCACCAGAGCAGACTCCATCTCTGTCTCCTGTTGCTGTGTTGGATTAATGCGAAGGAAGGGCTGGAGTCACAAAAAGGGACCGTGGAGATGTCTTAAGAGAACCGAGATAATGGTGCTTGCTGAGTTAGCCAGTGCCTCTGTGCCAAGAGAAGCTGCTTGGTTAGACAGTACTCCTTAGGGTGGCCATGGAGAAAGGGAGGAACCGTCCCTTCACCAAGCATCAGGACATGATGAGTTGAGTGGTTTTTCTCTCCTTCCACTTGCTCTGTCAGCAGAACCAGCTCTGCCTGAGAGCTGCAGTCCTGGGGCCACAGGCTAAAGGTGTGCTGTGCCCTGCGTGTGCTGTGGGCAGCGCTGGGGTTGTGGGCACAACAGAAATGGAGACGGGGAGAGGGGTACAAGAACATATTGCTTGATGCCATGTGATCATGCCTTGGTTCCCAGGAAATCATATTAGCTGTTTTGTCAGCTGGGTTTGTCTGCTGATTTTGTATTGCTGTGTCAGACCACACTGATGAGCTTGATACTCCCTGCTTGCTGGGGCACACAACACAGTGACGTTATTTTTCATTCCTCCATCCTGCACGCAGACAGCTAGTTGATATCTTCAAGTTACGCAGAAACTGGGACAGAAGCCTGGAGTGACTTCCCTGTGATCCCTTTTAGAAACCCCTGAGAGCACATGCAGGCTCTTCAAAGACAGGGGAGGAAATGGTGTTGCAGGAGGGAGGCTTAGCTTGGGCAGCAGGAGGTGAGTTCGTTTCCCTGAATGTCGACCGTCCTCAGCTCGTTGTTGGACTGCAGCCCTGAGTCGCTGGGTGATAGGGGATGAATCTCCCTCTGGAAGAGGTTTGTCTGCCCCTTCTCTGTCCTTCCCCATTAACCAACGGGGACCTTACAGCTACTGGTGGGTGAGATTCATATTTTCCTTCACTGGGAAGAGTGCCCTGACGGTAGGGATTGGCAGTGCTTTGCTGAGGTTTGGAGCTTCCATCCTCGGTGGTTTGTGAGAGCAGGTTTGATGTGTGTCTGTCAGCAGTAATTCGGGTTGAGGTGATCTTGCTGGGGGCGTGGGTCGGTGACTTCTTGAGATCTCTCCAAGCTGTAGTTCTGTGATCTCCCAAACCCTGGTGTCCTTCCTTACAAAGTAAATGGAGTTAAAAGCTAAGTCAGGCTGTTTGCCAGGGATGGAGCCATTGGTGGGTGCAGGCACGCAGGAGCTGACAGAGAGCAGGTTTATTTGGGCAAATGCAGTTTGCTGAGTTTCCCCCCATCACCTGTACAGCCAGATCCAGCATTTCCTATGTTTATTTGCTGACCCCAGGCTTGTGCTTGCCTGTCTTGGGCTTATCTGAAAATTACTACCGCAAGAGCAGGAAAAAATTGCTTCTAAAAAGCCTTTTTCGTCACAGAATATTCTTCCAGGGGGATCCATCGATAGATATGTATGCTCAGCAGTTGACACATTTATATCTTTGGTACATTACACTACTACATTCTTAGCCTTGATGCTTTTTCTAGGATCTAATACTGTATATCCCATTCAGGGTGGAGCATTTTTGTAAGAAACAGCGCAGATATAGAGCAATCCTTCTGGGTGATTCCTTAGTGCTTCCAGCAACGTAGGGACCTCCTGAGTCAGCAGCTGCATGGCAGATGCTGTGCTTGATCCTTCATGATGTTCCTATCTGCCATGAGGTTCTCTGGTTATTTATTACCATATTTCAGTTTTGGCCTCCAGCAACATGTAGGGGCGAGCTCCACCCTTTGAGGAGGCTTTGTGAAAAAAGTTGCTCTCCTGATTGCTTTAACTCCATTTACCTGACAACTGGGGGTACCCCACAACAGCAGTGGTGAAGGGCTGCTCCTCTGGGAATTAGCATTTGCAGAGAAGCAGCTGTCACTTCACGTGGAGACGTGGGCGGGAGACGGGGCTGTCACCTTGTTTGAGAATTGGATCTTGGAGTTTGATTCTTCTCCTGGCAGAAGCTGGCTCTTGGGTTTGGATCTCTTCTGTCACGTCTCTACTTTGGTTTTCCTTCCTATACAGCAGGCAAGCTTTGAGCCCAGGTTTGATGGTGGCACTGCGTAGGCAAAGTTGCTCTGTGTGTGTGTGTGTCTCTCTATTCTCTCTGCCTGGTAGCATATTCTGGTTGGAAATTGCCCATTTTTAGACCCACAGGACAGCAGGAAGTGCCTAAATCCTTCCTTTTGAGTTTTTTTGCTTTAGCCAATTTATAGCAGACGTCACGCCATTTTTTTTTTTTTAAGAGGCAACTTTAAGACAAAATACTCCAATCCTTCCTGGCACCATGTAAGCCCTAACGACTTCTCAACATCTCGGCTCTCGTTAGTGTATTTTTCAAACTACTACCCCAAGTGATTAGCTTGTATTGTGGATCAATTACTTGCCAAATTTTAATTAAGAAAGGAGGAGAAAAAATAAACTCCATCCTGGTTCCAGCCCCTTTTCTTTGCTTTGTAACAGCCCTGGAGCAAACTTCTTGCAGCAGAGTTTTATAAACCCCTCAAAACTGGGGTTTATAATGGAAAAGCTGAGGTGGCCTTTACTCTAGCACACGCAGCTATAACACATCAAGGCTTTTCCATGAAGCTATGATGAAAGGAGCAGAAGGACCTGGAAAAAAAAGAAAGAAAGAAATGGCCGACAGGTGGGACTTATTATTCCACAGCATTTTTATTTCAAGGGAAAAGTTTAGTAACCCCAGCTGGCAGGTGAGCAGTGGGGGAGCAAATGCTTTTTCATTGTGCCTGTGCCAGCATGTGTGTGTGTACAAGCTTATGTGCCTCTCTACAAGAGAGGAGAGCTTAAATGCTAATGCCAATAAATGTTGTACACCTACACTGAAAAGTCAGATGTAAGGAACAAGGTTCTATGCAATTTCAATCTAAAAAGAAAAAATCAGGACTTAGTTCTGAATGTAACATACATGCTTATGTGTGCAGAGGATGACAGTTTTATTTAAAAAAAAATAAAATAAAAAGGCTTCCCCAAGGGTCCAAAGTCATTATTTTTGCTTGAACTGTTTAATACCAAGCATAAGCACTAGAGAGACCCAGAGACCTGGGCCTGCCGTGCCACGTCTCCAGGATGCCGTTGTCCCCTCCAATGTACCCGGGCTTCAGAGCCCACGACGAGCTGTCCTCCCCACGTGCAGGTGAAGCAACATCCACCACTGCCCTAATTCAATCTGCGATCATGTAGCTTTTGCAGAAAATGGGTCAAGCTACATGTGATCGAGTTCTGCCTTCTGGCGTGGTCAAAAACTTGGCCCTGGCTGCCCACGAGCAGCTCTCAGCCTTAGGTGGGGAGAGTGGATCCCCCTAAAGCCATCAGCATGTGGTACAGGAAGCAAATGTCCGGGACAGAGATCCTGGGGACTGGCAGAATAAATCCCATGCATCTTCCCTTGCCCTGTGGTGTGAAGGAATTGCATACCGGACCTTGCTTTGCCACGGAAGAGGGAAGCAAAGCTGCAGTCAGTTTAGTCAGGCTTGTTCTGCCATCCTGTGGGCTGAGTGCAGAGGATTTGTGCTTATAGCGAGCAGCTGCGCAGCCCCAGGAGATGCTCGGGCTACTTGGTTGGATGCTTTGCTGCCCCTTGCCAATAAGCTGGGCATATCTTGGGAAGGAGAGCACAGGCACAGACTTGTGCTGTAGCCACATCTGCAATGCCTTAAAGTCCCCATGCACGCTTACTGCTGCTTGTCAGGGCATACAGGAAAGCTCAAATGGGGGCAGCTGCCAACTGCTGCCCCTTTGACAACGTACTGTGAATTAATTCCTCAGCACCTCCCTGTCACTTCCCCTGGGACCCTCCAGCCACACAGGTGATGCCAAGAGGCCAGCCAGATGCAGCAGGCACTTCTGAGGACAGGAGGACTGCATGGCGGTGCAGGCCTGAGCAGGCACTCAGTTGAACCAGGCTGTTTCGTGGCATTTGCATTCAGATTAGCGAGCCCCTCCTTGGCAGTGCTGATATGTAGCCCAAAATGGCTTTTCAAGGTGGCAGAAAGGGCAGATGTTTAGATTTGTCTCTCCTATCTGTTGTAGCTGCTGCAGGAAGTTTTTACTGGGACATGCAGGTTAGAGCGTACCCTTTTCTGATGCTGGAGATCTAAAGCTCTGGTATTGAGCACAAGCAAAGGGGTGTGTTATATAAACAGGCTCTGCTACCAGTGCAGTCAGTCTTTGATTTCCTCAGGGTTTTAAGCCTTTTCTTCCAGTTGTGGTTTGTGCTTGCTCTTCCCAGGATCCAGCATGCCAAGTCCATGCAGTGAAGGCTGGTGCACGGGGCTCCCCGATGCATTACACAGACACAGTGAGAGACAGTCCCTGCCCCAGAACGCTGAAAAATCTAAACAGATACAACAGTTAGAGAGGGGATGAGATAGGTCCCAGACAGCTAGAGCAATGTGACCACAGGCATCAGCACCAGAGCTAGGTGCACCATCCAGACCACCAGTGCTCTGTCACTCACCCTGAGAGTGATGTCCAAGGTGTCTTGGGCATCCATTATGTGTTTCATTCGACTCTAGTTCAACAGGACTTTGTGTGTAGCTGTTTTAGGTCTCAGATGCAACTGCCAGTGGTTCCCACATGTGTCAGAGCAGCAGCTCGGCTGCTAGCGGCAAGGGGTATCACATGGGAGCCTGGTTGCTCAGAATTCCAAAGCTCGGGGAACAGTGAGTGTGTGAAGTCCGTGTCTGCCAGGAATAACATGCACTGGGATCAGGGAGGAGGCTGCTTCACGGTTGGGCTGCAGGGACTTTTCGATAGTACTCAATACTGCAGAGCAAACAAGACTTGCGCTTCTTTGGAGCTGCATCCTTGTGAATTACTTGCACCCGTGTAAATTTTCTGTACCTGGGACTCTCTCCTCCAGATCCTTCTTAGTCCAGGGAGCTTCCAGGGGGAGAAAGGCCCTGTCCTGTCTCTGCAGGTGGTGTCACAGAGCAGAGAGGATCTTTCCTAAGGATGCTTGCCTTTTGTAACCGGCAGTGCCAGCTCCTCTGCTAGTGATGTACCCAAATGCAGGTAGCAGTACCGAAGCAGCGTGGCAGGTCACGGTCCTGCCCCGCCACTCGGCCCGCTTGCTGCAAGCTGCCACGCTCACTGCTGCAGGCACTGAAAGAAACCCTGCTGAGGGAAAGCAGCGACATCGCTGCGTGGCTTCGGGTCCGCCAGCAAGCCCTGCGCAAGCCGGCAGGCTCCCACATGGCACGTTGCATCCCTGTCAGCTCGCTTGTCACACCGAGCGCTGGGCGTTAGCAGCTGGAAGGGCCTGTGACAGCAGCGAGCAGACCTCGGTGTGCTCAGACAGAGCCTGTGCTCAGTTCTGTGTGGCGGGAGGTCGCGTTGAGGCTGCGGTCGGTGTGGAAAGCCAGGGCGCCCCAATTTCCTGCACGGCCGGTGCTGTAGACGGGAGGCTGCCTCGCAGCAGAGCCGTCTTTCTGTCATTTTTCCCATCAACTGTCTGTCACATCTGCCAATCTAATGATGACCGGCTTAGGTTGACCCCGATTCCGAGGCTTATTAACACCCCCTTGCTGTCAGGCTCAGTGACAGATGGCACATCAGCCCTTGTTTTATTTCCTGTAGCGTTCCTGTCAGCCGCCCGTTACCTCGCCCCAGCTCCCATCACAGTTTGCTGGTTTCAGTTCACCTTGGCAGAAGAGACTTGCCTCGGCAGCATCTCTGCGAGCTGAGGGGGGACAGGACGGGGATTTCCTTTATGCCAGCAGCTCTGGGGCTTTTTGCAGTGTGGCCAAACCAGTCCCCCAACACGCTGCCCTGAAAAGGAAGGTCTGACCCCACCATGAACCAGTTTGGTCATCCCAGGTGAAAACTGCAACTCGTTCCAGCTGGGTTGGTTTTGTGCAGGCTCAGTGGCCTGAACTGGCTCCTCGAGGGCTGCAGGTGAGCGAGGGGAGCAGAAAGGAGCAGACCTGCCTGTGACAGCACAGCAGAACTGGGGCCTCGGGCCAGTCCATCTGCAGAGACTCCTCTCCCCGGAGCTGCTGAGTTTGGTGACACGCCTCGGTCCTGGGTTTCAGCCTCCTGCAGAGCTCCTGCCTGCCCGTCTGCCTCATGACAGGGACTGGAGTGGGATGAGGGGCTTGCAGGGCAGGCAAGAAAGGCGTTGGGGCTCCCCCCTTCTCCCAGCTTGTGCCTGCTGTTGTGCCTGGAGGGGAAGGGGGTAGCCTTGCTGCCACAGCTCCTGTGCTGCTCCCCCTGAGATCCCAGGCCAAGGACAGGGTCCTGCGGGTTGTCCTCCTTCACTCTCTCACACTGTTCGTCTCGTCTGCCGGTTGCAGGGTGCCAAGAAGCTCTGTCCCCAGTGTAACACCATCACGTCTCCCGGAGACCTTCGGCGCATCTACTTATGAAGGACCCAGCGGGAGGGCGGGACCCAGCTACTCGGCTCAGCTCATCACACCAAGGGGGAGAAGAACGACAGCAACAACAACAACAGCAACAACAAAAAAAAGACGTTTTAAAATTTAAAGGAAACAAACAAAAAAAACACAGAGACTCCAGACATGGACTCGAGGATACAGGAGCAGTGGGGAGCCTCAGGTCCCGCATGTTGAGACCTCCTTCAGCATCTGCAGCGGGCAAAACCAAACCCTTTGTTGTGAAGCCCCCTTTTTTAAAACCAGTATTCCCCATCCACCCGTTCCCTGGAGCTGGCTTTGCATCGCGGATGGCTCATGAGCCCTCCTTTGGACTGTGTTGTTGACCACTCTGCCCCCAGGAGACTGGGGAAGGGACCCTTGACAGAAAGATGTTAAATAACCTGTAACTTGTGTTCTTTGTTCAGTTTTTTTGTTTTGTTTTTATTTTGGTTTGGTTTTTGGTTTGGTTCTGTTTTGGTTTTTTGTGGTGTTCTAGTGATAAAAAAAGGTTTAAAGAAAAAAAAAAAAAAACACACCCAGGCAGAAATGAAGCACATGTAATATAGATTATATATGTTTACAATGTTGTGTATAAATGGGATAGACTCAAACATTACATACTAATAAGTTTCCCTTTCTTTTTTTTGGGTTGTATTTTTTTTAAAGAAGAAAAAAAATGAACAGAGAACATTAAACCCATATTTTTCTTGGTTCAGCAAAGTTTTGGCATTAAAGTCATTAGTTTAAAAAAAGTATATATATACATATATATAATATAAATGGTTTAATGTTCTGTGGTGTATATTTCCTCATTCAGATATGAAGTTAACAGCTTTTAGTAATGGCTGTAGCATTGCCCATAACTTACAGAACTTATGGGGAGTAGAGGAGGTGGATTTTTGTCATTAGTTGTAGCTAATGGGGCTATTTATAATAGAATCGTTATCCCCGGAAAGACACGGCTTTTAACTCCTCGCCGGGGGACCAGGCAGGGCGGGGGGGGGGGATCTGGCTCAGCCCCCTTTGCCTTTCCCAGCCGGGGAAGGGGCAAACGGTGCGGAGCTGGGGGGGAGGCAGCCTGGCAGAGCGCTGCCCCCCGGCCCGGCCGGGGCCGCCTGCTCGAGGGTCTGCCCGGCCCCCTCCTGCCTGCTCCAGGGCCGGAGCCCCGGCCCCTGCCTGGCTTTGCTTCCCCCTCCTCCGGCAGCATTTGCTGGCTGAGGATGCCCGAGCTGCTCCGGGTGCCCGGCGCTGCGGCAGGGCGGCGGGGACGGGACGGCCCTGCTGCGGCGCCTTTGCCCGGAGGGGCCCGGCCGGTTCCTGCGTGGTGCTGCCCGGCAGAGACACCCCGGCCCTGCCCGGCGCCCGCTCTCCCGGAGCCTGCGTTTTGCAAAAGAGGTTTTGGCACTAGGGCAGAGCGCCGACCCCGTCTCATCCCCAGGGCTTGCCCGCCGGTGGAGCGGGCAGAGGTGCTTCCAGCCGGAGCCAGAGGTTCCCCGCAGCCCCGGCTTCTTCCACGCAGTCCCTCGTGCTAGGCCCTGTCTCCCATATCCTCAGCCTTAACCAAAGCTGCCGTCTGGCCTGGACCTTTTGTCGATTTTTCTTTTATTTTCAGGACCCAAGAAGCAGATACTGATCCATTTCCCGAGGTGAACGCATGCCCCGTGTGCTGACTTGCCCCAGCTCCCCCGGCCGCCGTGGGGTGCCGGCTCCCTGAAGCCAGAAGACAGGGAGATGGGGAAGCTCATCTCCCCCTGCTCCTGCAGGATCTTTCCAAGCAGTTCCCACCTGGCAGCACAACGTGGTTGGGGCATTTTAAGATAGTCTGAAAACAGCAGTGGTTGAGGGGTTTGGAGCCGGGACCCCAGTGTTCCTGGGCTGCTGGGGTGTTGCTGGAGGAAAGGGCTGGGGAGGCAGGATGGGTGTGCCGGTCCCATCACCACTGCTCTGCCCTGAGCGTGATGCTGTCCTTGGTGTCTCCCGAGTGATTCCAGAAGGATCCTGCTGCACCAAAAAAAAAAAAAAAAAAAAAAAAAAAAAGTTGAAGGAGTTGTATTTTACAAGCGTCTTGGCAAAAAAATGACAATTCCTAATTGAGAGTTTCCCAGGTCTCCAAGCTCACAGCAGTGTGGTGGCTTCTGAGACCAGAGAGCGGCAGCTCCCCTGCTCAAGGGTGCATCCCTGCAGAGCCCCCGGGGACCAGCAGAAGCCGAGGTACCCCGGGAGGGTCCTGCCTCCCCGGGGAGGCTGTGGGCAGGGGAAGGGGCTGCAGCGGTGGGCGGTCACTGGTGGGCAACCCTTCAGGCAGGGGAAGGGCAGGCACGCAGAACTCGGGTCTGGATTTGTAAAGGGGGAAAAATTGAGGGGCAGGGAGGTGGGGGGGATGGCTGGCTGGGCTGTGAGTGCCACCCAGCCAGGGCTGCAGTGCCTGGGTGCCGGCACTGAGGGCTCAGAGATGGATTTGGAGGGGGAACAGTGGGTGAGTGTGAGAGGCAGCCGGGAAGGGGAGAAGGCAGGACACCCCACCCCAGCCCTTCCCTGGAAATAGGCCCCAGGAGGGAGCCAGACTTTCTGGCGGGTGTTGTGGACCAGCTGTGTACTCTATGTACGTATGTGTAAAACCATATGTAACTAGTCATTGGTTCTTTGTTTTGGGGGTTATTTTTTGTTTATTTTTTTTTTTGTTTTAATTGTAAAGCCATCCCCTATTTTCAAGGGGGGGGCGCTGCAGGGGGAAGGCTGGGGAGAGAGGCATCCCGGTTTGTAACAGGCATCCGCCACTTCCCTCTTCTGTAATAAGTTTAAATGATTTAAAAAAAAAAAAAAAAAAAAAAAAAAAATTGAAATATTGGAGTTACCTATCTTTGCCCAAAGAATCCCAGTTGCACAAAGCGATATTCCGGTGTGTCGATGATTGTGTGTCAGTGTATATTATACAAAGAGGTACTTGTCACTCCCGTTTGTAAACTACATTTGACATTAATTAAACAAGTATAAATCTTCTTGGGCGCTTTCCGCCTTTCTGTGTTTCCCTTTGCAGGCGAGAGGCAGTGGAGGAAACATATCCCCCCCCCCCCCCGCCCCTACAGATGCTGCGGCCCCTGGATGTGGGTCATGTCCCAAAGGGGAGCCCCGGGCCTGTTATTTGGGGTGCAGGGACAGATGCATCTCTGCCCCACCAGGGATAGGGCCCCCCCCCCAGCTTGCTCCCCCCACAGAGCTAGGAGGGCAGGGCAAAGGACACTCCTCAGGGGACACCCCCATAATGAAGTCTCATCGGCTGCATTAGTTGGGGGCAGGAGGCGCCCAGCCCCAACAGATCTATACGTCCTGCATTAGGGGCCACCGGCACAGTATAGGGTTACCCCCGACAAGAGGGGCTGGGAGGCTGCCAGGGCCGGGGGGGGTAGAGGTCAGGTTCCCCCCCAGCATGAGGCTGGCGCCGACGCTTTTGGTTTACAAACATTTTGCCGGCGGGTCGATGGGGTGTTTTCAAACCCCTCCCCAGGGCTGCAGCCCCAGGGGTGGGGTGCTGGGGGGGGGTGGGGCGTCCCCAGGCTGGTGGGAGGGGTCGGTGGGGATGGCAGGGACCTCTTTCTGTCTGTGGTGGCAAGGATGGCGAAAGAGGGTGGATTTGGCTTTTTTGGCTGAGCATCTCAGCCACTCTCCAGTCTGCTTTCAGCCCGGAGGAGGCCTGAGGCCAGGGTGAGGGGCAGGATCCCGCCCTCCCTCCCCCTCCACCCGCCCCACAGAAGGCTGCTAATATTTTATTTAAAATATCTTTAGGAAGCAGAGGGCTGTGATGTATCGGATGTATTGAGAAAATGCTAATGTGTAATAGCGTGTGTCAGGGGCCTCGTTCATCACCCCCAGCCGCCTTCTGGGGGATCCATATCTAATTAACAGTAATGAATGAGGGAGCCCACCTAATGACAGCCCGCCAGTTTGTTATGGAAATGAGGCAATCCCATTAGGCAAAACACTTAATTAAACAAACGCTGGGAGTGGAGGCCGGAGCAGGATGGGCACAGGCCCTTTGGGGGCCCCGGTAGGCAGCCCCCCACATGCTGGGGGGGGGGGGGCACAGGCTGCTGCAGCCCCTTAGAGCCGGGTGCCCTTGGTCAACCCCAGCAGCAGCAGGCTGGGGGGGGGGGGCCGAGGGGGACCCACGGGGGGTGGGAGGGGGCAGCGGGGCCGTTCACATCCCCCCCTCCACATTGATGGGCACAGAGGCCAAACACAGATTTCCAATCAAACGTGTGTACTTGGCTCCCGCTCTATTGACACTGAAGCAAGAAGGGCTCAAGGTTAATTCCTTATCAATACCCTATTGTCAGCTCATTCATCACCCGGTCAGGGCAGGGGCTGCCCAGGCTCCCCCTGCCCCAGCCCCCCATGGGTTTGGGAGGGTGACCAAAGGATGCTGTGCACCCCTGTGCCCACCCCAGCCCTGCCCGGGCAGCCCATCTCCAGCCAGCGGTGCTGGGGTGGACTTGCAGCTCTGTGAGGGCACGGAGAGAAGGGGATGAGGGTCAAGTTCAAAGGGAAGGGGACAGGGGGACGTGGGGCAGGTACAGCGAGCAGCTGCCCAGTGAGCCCCTGCCTCCCTTGCCCGTAGCTGGGCTAGGTGCAAGAACTGCACGTAGGGTGTGCTGGGGGCACGTCAGGGTGGTTATACAGTGGTTGTGGCCCCCACTTCTGCTACCCTGTTTCCTAACTGCCACCCCCCCCCCCAGCCCAGTGCCCTGGGGGGAACCTGCCAGCCTTTCAGGAGAGCAGCACTAAGCTCAGCTCCCTCCCCAGGACTGGGGGGGGCTACAGGGAACCCCAGGGAGCATCCCCATTCCAATTTGTGGGGTTCCCAGAACTTGGACCATGGTCTGTCTAATCACAACAACATCACACATATTCACTTAAAAAATATATAGTCCTCTCTGGGTGATGCAAAGGGAAGTGGTGTGACCTCGCAGAAAGGGCAGTAAAGCTATTCCTGCTGTTACTTTTGGTTTTAACGTTTGGTTAAAGCGGAGAAATAGGATCTAGTACAACTTCCCAGGGCAGGCAGCTCTAGGGCTAGATGCTGTTCTATATCAACTCACAATCTCCACTTCTCATCAGTTTGCTCTTGCCAGTCTTTTTCATTGCCTCAAGAGAGGACTTTTTGTGGGAGATGCTCTCAGAGACGCAGAAGTACTGGGCTGTTGGGGATCTCCTCCAGCATCTGCTCTGCTTGTCTCCTAAACCAGAAATTTCTCCCCGCAGGAAAGAGGGGGCCTGCTGCCACCTCGTGGAGTGCTGCTCCTTCCCGGGCCGGAGCATCCCACCCCCGGCCACTGCAGCCATCGGGAGGTTGGCACCGCAGCCCCCCACCAGCTCCCTCCTCGTCACCTCCACGGGGAGATGGAGACCAGCCCCACGCCTCCCCGCTCCGCTTTCTAGGAAGCGGCACATGGGGTGGGGTTGCTCTGTTCCATCTCTGGCCATCCACACTTTTCCACCAGTGGCAGAGCTCTGCCCGTACGCCTGTGACATCCCAACACGTAGAAAGGTGGGGCCTCAGCCCAAACGCAGTTTGCTGCCCCAACAAGGCAACAGCACGCTCCTTTTAAAACGCCTTTACTAGGTGGGGACACAGGTCAGTCTTCACCCAGGGGCTTGGCTTCAATTACTCATGCTGCAAGATGCTCCCCCCTGCTCCGAATTGTGACACCCAGCTGGGCTGGATCATGCCCCTGGTCTGCCCAGGCCCCCCCCCTCCAGCCTCCCCCAGGACCATGGGGCACCCTGGCAGCACAGGCACCCTCCAACCCAGGCACACGACCACCCTGACCACTAAACTAAGCAGTTTTCCTTTTTAAAAGCCTTCCTATAACATCAGCGCTGCCTGGGGAGGGAAGGCAGCACAGGGGAGCGAGGTGGCAGCCAGCTTCCTCACAGGGAACACAAACGGCTTTTGCTGGTGAAGAAAGGTTAATTTATGCTCCTGCAAAATGAACCTAGCTGGGAAACGTGCAATGGCACCAGCTGGCCCCCGCGCATCCTCCTCTCCCACCATCACTGGTGCTTCACCCACGTTCCTCCACTGTCTGCACCTGACGGCTGGCCTGCAGGAAAAGGAGCTCCAGGCTCCCCAGGCAGAGGTGGCTGGTGCCACATCCCACTCCCATCCCATGAGGCAAGCCCAGGGATGCTGCATTTTTCCCCCCAAAAAGCAGATCTGCAATGCCTCTCCCACGGCTCATCTCAGACACTTACTTGGGTTGCCAAAATATGCCAACCTTTGGCTTCCAGTGTTCAGGCTGAAGCTCTTTAGGAACGCAGGCTGAACCAAACTGTGACAGTTTAGCAAGGATTAAGGGTTTGAGGCTGCGTTTTTTTTAAAATCCAGTAGTGCTCGGATCAGTTCTTGGCCACGTGCCTTCAGGCTCCAAGTTATTAACCTTCTGTTTCAAATAACAAGCAACAGAAATGAAGAGGGCAGAAGGGGGTGGGGGAAGCATACATGCTGTATAGGGAAGAAGAGGGTAATATATCACACAATACATTTAACACACTGCTCATAATCATCATTAAAACTTGCTGCGACACTGAAAACTAAACCCACCCAGAAGACTTATGACGATGACTTCCTCTGTAAACCACTGGCTCGCTCCAGATCTGCCCCCGCTCCTCTTCGAGAGGTGCGTGCACGAATTAGCCCTGAATTTCCAGTCAGTTTTGCAGCGGTGGAAACGCCTGTGAGCTGGATCCTGCTCGGGTAGCACAGGGCACCTCAGCGGCCGAGCTCCCGCGGGCAGCACCCGCTCCCCGCCTGCCGCCCCGGAAAGCGGGGAGGTGGCAGAGTTGGGGGAGCAGCAGGTCGGTCCGTGGCGGGGAGGTGAAGGTGGGGATGGAGGGTGTAGCTGACACACGGTGAGGCTCTTCCCAGAGGGCGTTTTGCCATCCCATCACACAGGGACAGGGGGTTTTAGCTCCAGCTCCTGACAACCACGCTCCACGACAGCCCGAGTCCCTAAATAGAAGTTCAACACCCACAGCAACAAACGGGAACAGCAGATTCCCAGCCCAGCTCAACTGTATTAATTCAGAGGTGTGTATTATGGAGTGTTTAACTGTTCTGTAAATAACGAACCCACAGAAACCAGCACGAGGGCAAGTGCTAGTTAAATAACCTGTATCACCTCTGCTCCCTAAGAGGTTTTCACAGTGCCACAACCAGGCTAGATGCTCAGAAGACGCAGCCCAGCTCTCCAGGAAGGCAGGCAAACACACCACAGTTCAAGAGTTATGGCACCAACAGCTCAAACTAGGGGCTTGCTTTAAAAAGCTGGGAGATCTCTGTTGGGATCATGCCTCGATTTTACAGGTCCAAACCCTAGGAACAAGAATTTCTTCATGAAAAGCAGCAGGCTGAAGGTGATCTTACCGCAGCGTAGCCCTCAAAGCTCATCTCAGTGGAAGCTGAAACTAGGATCACATTTACAGAAGACCAGACCCTGAGCAACAAGGGCTTCTGTGCCTGGAGCCAGTTTTCACTTTAAAAAAACTGAAGACAAACCAGGCCACCAGCCCCTTTTCAGTTAATTCTCACCTATCCTACACACCCCAGCCCACCCTTTAAAACCGTGCCCAACGTGGGATTATTCTTCCATTTAAATAAGCATTGCCACACTAACCTGCTAAAAACAGTTGTGCCGGCCACTGACCACACCTCACCATGTGCTTCCTCTTCTGTGAGGTGGTATGGTTCTTGTTTCAAACTTCCAAATGATTTTAGTGCTTCTCAGGAGACCTCCCTCTCCACGTTTTGATTCAGAAGGGCAAGTGCTTTGTAATTGTGGATGACAGCACCCCAAGGGTGGCCAAGACAAGCACAGCAGCCTGCGGGCAGCAAACATCTATAAAAAACCTCATGCTTTTTATGTTCCTACCTCTCGAGGGCAGGCCCTTGTTCACACAGGCCCACATCACAGCCCTTCAGAGCCTGTTCCTGGCGATCTTTGACCAGGAATTTAAAGCTGGCTAATCTTGTCCACCACATTATTCATTAGCTTGCAATGCTGTGACGTGGCATAAACATATTAGCCAGCTCTCCTCTCTTTATTCCTGCTTTTCCCCCAAATAAACAACAAAACCCCAAACCAAACATGGCTGAAGTGCAGTGCAACGTGCTACTTTTTCACTAGGTGGAAGGAATTAATTTCTTGTATTACTAGTACACACTGCTTCAACAGACAGCAAAGACTGATCATCTGAAGAGAACGTTATGGGGAAAAACATTGAATTTCATGGTCATTTGTGGGCTGGAAGTGATTTAAGAAACACCCAGTATAAATCATAGCTCCAAGAGACAGTTTCATTTTCCTCTGCAGTTCCACCTTTCTATTTCTGAGGTCTTTTGGGCTACAGCTGAGCCAGTTTCCCTGTATTTCCAGATGCACAATACAGCTGCTCAAAGACACACAATAATAAATGAGCAGTTCTCCAAGAAAGCAAAACTACTCGGGAAAACATACAAAAGACTGGAAAGAAGAGAAACAAAACACAAGACACATTCAAAAAGGTTACCTTAAATCTTTTGGTTGAAGAACACAAAAGTTATCACAAACATTTGAGCTCACACTGAGGAGCAGAGCTTTGACTGCTCTATCTCAGCTATTTAATGGAACCAGATGACAGTCTGGTCAGACTGCCCTGCAGATACCTTTTACAGGTCTTACACTTGGCTTCCGGGACCCATCTCCAGCAAGGAGTATAACAAGAGCTGAGATGCACTGAGAGAAAAGTCCTGCAGAACTGCTTCTTTTTTGCTCACTGCAAGATAAAAGAAATGGCAGAGAAGAAGAAAAACAACAAAAGCATGGAAGACCTGTATTGTAAAATCAGTACAAGGCAACAGAACATGCACACTGGACACCAGGGAGGAGGAGACAACATGGAAAGTGGAGAACAATAGGAGACGGAAAGAAACAAGTAACACTCTGTGTGAAATTCTGGTCTGTGACACCTTGATAAAGCATATCAACTTCAACCATGCTAGGATTTCACTTTCGGTACTTTAAATTAATCCGTATCTACTTTCTGCTATAACATGGCTGGCTGGCCCAAAGGCCAAACTGGAAGCTTTCAGAGTTGTAAATTGGGGGGGTCAGGAAGAAGCTAAGAAGTCTCTATTTTCTTCCCTTCAAAGACACAAAGGCAAAAGGGTGACATTTCCCACACAAGCTGAGCAAAGCAGAGGCAAACATTGGAGGTCATTACACCACTAACGAGGTGAGCCCCTGGTACAGTCAGACAGGAAGGTCGTACAGAGGTTGCGGTAGTAGGTGGGATACGCCCGCATGTGGCTGACATGAGCCGAATCCGAGAAGCCAACGGCTTTCACGGAGACACCGAGCTGCTGCCGGGCATCAGCCATGTGCTGAACTTCGCTGGCCTTGATGATGGCATCGGCTTGGGAATAGAGGTAAAGCTCAGGCCACCCCGAGGGCGCTTTCAGCAGGGCATCGTAGTGGCTCTCGTGGATGAAGCGGGTCAGTGGGTACAGCAAGATCCGCAGCACAACAGCTGTAGTAGCAAAAGCGAGCAAGAGGAGATACTTGAGCAGCACATTCGTGGATACCAGAACAGTTGCCAAGGCACGAAGGCCTCCTCTCAAGTTTCTTCTGCCAGGGGCACTATCAAAAATGGTGCCTGCTACCTTGAGGTTCTTAAATGGCTTGTGAGTGTGGAGCGCCTCAACGATGTAACGGTACAGCATGACACCACCATTGCTAAAAACATGAAAAAGAACTGGTCTGGTTTCAATGCTGTAGTCAAAGAGCAGCTCCAGGAGTTGCCTGGCTGGGGTCTGGAGAGATCTGATGCCAAAGGTCTCAGAGAAGAATATCATCTTCCATGGAGCCGTGTAGCGGATGACAGTGCACCCCTAAGAACAGAAAGAGACCCCACACACATTTAGCCTGCGCTGTAAATTACATGGAATAGGCAAGCATCAGTACAAAAAACGTGAAATTTCAGGACAGGCTTTCAACCAAAACCACAGAGCCAGAAGAAAGTCTCTAGTGTAAGTAGCAAGGCATCAATATGAATAGGATTATATCAATTGTAACAGCACGCATTATTATGAAAAGGTTTCTACAGAAGCAGAGGCCTGGATTTGATGATGTTTGAGATCCTTTCAAATATTATGCTACCTGGCACAGCCCCTGGGGACACTGCCACCCAAGGTTTTATATGTGTTAGTCTTCATCCAGGAAGAAAAAAACATGCCCCTGATTCACAAACCTTCAGTATCAGCCATTTTGGTAAGAAAGGCCTGCTCTGGTACACATCTGAACATTGAAACAAACGTAAGGAGAAGGAACTTCTTCCTGACCTTGGGTAGTACTTGTTTGCAGCTGTCTCTAAGACTCACCCACAATCAACACTGACATGATTTTCATAAGCCTTTATGAAATGCTACAGCTGTGCAAATGAAGAGCACTGGTTCAGAGATTCAGAACACCTGAGCAATTGCCTTTACAGTTAAGGCCTTACACTGAGGTGTAGATTGAGAAACAGGATTTTGGAAGAGTTTCTAAATAAAGCAGATGGAACTACACTTATAAATGCTTTAGATCTTTTCTGTCATCTTAGCTGACAAACATAAGGCAAAGTCACCAAGACAGCCCCCCTACCCAGAGCTCCCTAAACAATGAACGAGGAAGAAGAGGATGTCAAGTTCTGAAATCAAAGTCTTCTATACCATCCTGCCATGCTTGCAGCCACTTCCTCATTAGGGAGCTAAGAAAACCCTTTCTACCCTTTCCCATTCCTATCATACTTCTGATAGAAATGTATTTTCAAAAGAGTTGGCATGCTGCCACGTAATGTGCTCTGCATCTGCTCAGCACCATCTCTTAGTCACAAAAATTCTTTATTAGAACAAGCCAATTCATGACTCTTGGACTGGATTACACATTAATAGACTTGTTAATGTACAAACTTTGCCACCTATAGCTGAAACAGATTTGGATAAATATAAGATCCTTGTATGCTGACAGGAAAAAAAAAAGAAGTCTAAGTCTAATGTTTCACTGGGTCCCCATACTACAAGCTGGGGTCATTCCAGTAAAACAGTGAAAATTATTAGTATTAGAAAGGAAAATAACATTACCTAGGGAACTAGCAATTGGAAAGACCTCTCTAGTTCAAACACAAAGACTTCCTAGTGAGCAGGTATGACTATCATAAAATGCCTCTTTCACAGACGGGATAAAATTACTTTGGATTAAAACATTTAAGTAAATCATCTTCACGGGAAGGAAAAGCCAAGGGAATGACAGGTGCTGGCGTGCTCTGTCAGTCCTCAGTCTGGCCTTGCCAAGTCTGTGATGTGGCCTCTTAGCAAGCAGTGAAACACATAATCCTTCCCTACATGTTTACCTGTTTGGAAAGCTAACACAGTTCATGTCATTCCTGAATAATCTCACAACTTTAAAAGCCTTTAAATACTCCAGTGAGTCACACAACAGCAGAAATTTTCTCCAAGGAAGTATTTTTGTCTCAGCTGCAGGCACAAAGGTGACATCAGCAATCGTTAGATAACACTGCCAGGGCTCCAAGAGACAAGGAGCTTTCAATGACAAAAGGCCTCGTCACTCACTCCCAATGACTTTTCAGATGGAGAGGCTTTAGAGCCATTTTACCAACATGCAGAAAAGAGGCAGTTTCTCAGAGACGTATGACAGTCATGAAAATAAATAAGCTCCTTACCTTCTGACTGTAGATTGTGCTATATTTGGCCAGGTATTTATCCTGGCAGCCTGCCCAACCTAGCAGGATCACCACAGGCCGACCATCCGCATGCCCGTTCTCTGAAACAAACCGAAAGATTTAAAATAATTGTCCTCCAGTCTACTGGAATCAGAACTCATGGGAACTTCCCTGGTAAACAAAGGTTAAAGGTGATGGTGAAGCGGGTTATTCGCTGAATGTCTCAGGCAGTCACGAGTACTGCCTCATCCCTGTTTCACACTGGGTACGCTCAGCAGAGTTTCGATCCCTGCAGATTCCCAAAGCTCTGCCCCGATGCAAAGCCAGGAGCGTGCAGATCGTTACGGGAGGCAGAGACACCTCCCCACCCCCCCTTACACCTCCCGGGAGCCAGGGAGGCACCACAGGCTACTGCCCCTTTCCAGAGGGGAAGGGGATGTGTCCTGCCCTCCAGGAACTACCAGACACCTAGTACGGCACAGGAGTCCCCACGCCCTGAGGGGTCCCCCGGGCCCGATCCCCCGCCTCCAACCTCAGGGGTCCCCAGGCCCGCTCACCCTCCCCCTCCTCCTCATCCAGAGGTCCGTCCCCCCCCCAGTCCCTCTCGCCCCTGGGGTCCCCCAGACCGCCCGTTCACCCCCGCACCGCAAGCCTCCCCCGGCGCCAGCTCCACCGCCGCCTCCAGCCCGCCGAACCCCATGGCCGCGCACTCCCGCCTCACACCCCCACCGGCTCTTCCGTTCTCCCCACCGGAAGCTCCGCCCCCCGGCGCCTCGCATAGCCAATGGGAAGGAAAAACGCCCGCCCGCCACTCTCCCTCCCCTCCCCGGCTCCCACTTCCTTAGCAACGCGCCCTTAGCACCCGGGCCGGACTGGGCGCCCCGCCCACCGGTGGTGGAAACTGGCCCCACCATTGGGCCGAGGCGGGCAAAGACGGGTCGCGATTGGTTCGGCTGCGCTGTCAGTTATTCTGCGGGGTATCCGCCCCCTCGGGAAGGTGAAGGGGAGTGAGGGGCTGAGGCGGGCGCGGCGGTTGGGGCGCCTGGGGTGAGGGGGGTCGGGATGAGGGGGATTGTAGGGCCTGAAGCGGGCGTCGCAGTCAGGGGGGCTGGAGGGTGAGGTGGGCGCGGGGGCTGAGGCGGGGGTTGTCGGTCCTGAGCCGGTTGTTTGGGTCAGGGGAGCTGGACACGGTCGCTGGGGTGGGCACTGTGGTCAGGGACTGTAGGGCCTGGGGTGGGGTTCAGGGTGTGGGGGGAGCACAGGGCCTGTGGTGGGGATGGATCAGGCCTGGGGGGATGGTTGGGCCTGGGATGGGGGATGCTGAGGCGTGCAATGGGTTGGAGAGGGGTAGGGGCTGAGGTGGATGTTGGAGTGAGTGCAGGGCCTGGCTGCAGGTGAGGGGAGTGCAGGGGCTACGTTTGGGGTTGTGGCTGGGGTTAATGCGGGGCTGGGAGGCAGGATGTGCAGGGGAGAAAGTGGGACTGTGGGTTGATGAGGGCTGGGTAGAAGTCATTGGGGTACACTGAGGAAGGTGAGTTGTGTGTGAGGAGGGTTGTGGGGGACTTGACGTATGCCAGGAGAGGGTGAAACCTGCTAGGGAAAGAGCCACTCTTAAGTTTTGCTTGAGGCTGGGCACAACCTTGATGTTGCAAAATGCAAAGGTAACACCAAATCACCGTCACCCTGCTGTTCCACGAGTCCAAGGCTATCAGTCCCTGGCACCTCACACTCGAAATGAGGCTGACACAGCACCAGTCTGCCTTTTGATCTCAATCTGATGATTTAGCAGCCCTCTGGATGTAAAGAACTGCTGAATTGCCAGAGCGAGTTCCTAAATCACTTGTGTTTTTCTTGGCAGGAATAAAGCACTGCCCTGACTCAGCCTTGTTTTGATTATTAGGTCCAACGGACTGGGGTGGCAGCCCAGCACTGTTGAGAGCAGAATTTAAAACCAGCAAACAGGAGTTATGCGCTGATGCTAGCACTGACTAACAACTCAGGCAAGTCATTTAACTTCCCTGTGTCTGTATGTTCCCATATGTAAGCTGGTCATAATAAAAATATTCTTGTACGTTTTCAGGGTACTTTGCAATGTCAGCTTAAAGACTACTATGTCAGCAGATACTGTTATTATAGCAGCCAGGGACAGATACGACTGTATCCTCAGAAACCTCATGTGATCATTGTTTCAAACTCTCCTTTTTGTGGCCATTGATTCATAGGCAAGCCTTTTGTATCACTAAAATCCTCACGTTCAGAGGCTAGTGCCAGTAATTCTGAATAGTGGGGGGTTGCTGCAGCTTTATAATAAAAATAGGATAGCATTACACCACCAGCATCTTAAACATAAATATGGAAACGTTAATTTAGAATCAATTTTGGGATGTTTCAGACTGTAAAGTTCTTTTAACTAGATCTCTGTTGAGGACAGAGGAACACTTTATGGGACTGTAAATTTCATGCAAACACTCTCTGTGAAATACAGATTCCCCCTACACACTGGCTGTTCTCTCAATATCAATCATATGCCTTGCAAGTAATGTTTCACAAATATTCTGTAAATCACAGGAAAATGCTTGCAATAATGTGAAATATGACTTTCACTTGACTGTTTCACCAGAGGCCCCTAGCAGGCCATTCTCCTGTCAGCACTAACATTTGTTATGGCTAATAACATTTTCAATCACAACTATTTTGGGAAAATGGATTTATTTTAAACCTGCTTCCCTGCAAAGGAGATCCTGAAAACACCCTGCCAAGGACACAGACTCCTTACAGAGCACAGACCGTTAATTCCCAAATGAAATTTCACCTCATCTCAATTCTCAAACATTGTTTCCTAGCCAGCTTTTTGAAGACTGTTTGTTTGTTTTCAGGCACTGAGGTACATGTTCACCTCTTGGTTACTGTTTTCATTCTGGTTCAAATAATAGCAATAGAAACTTACTCCTGAGCAGGTATCTTGGGGATATTCTGGAACTGATTTGGAATTTTCCTCCAGATTCTAGGAGAAAAGGCTTAAGAACTTTGTAGATAGGAAATTGATAATCTCGGTGGCTTGTATTACATTGAAAGAAACTTCTTATTCTGAAACTCAAAGATTTTGTCTCATTTTAACTTTTAAATAAACCCTAAAATGGTGCTTTTCTCATGTAGGAAGTCCAAGAACTGTATTAGACAAGGTGTGAATTCCTTTCTTATCCTCAAGCATGTTGATATAGCTTGGTGGATGACAATGCACCTGTGTTAATGCCACTGTCTGTGGCTTCATCCCTCTTTCTGCATCTGTGTACACACACAGATACTGATGCTTAACGGCGAGGCTCCTCGAGATTGGTCAGCATCTTAAAGCCAAACACATACACGTAAATGGAATTCTCATCTACCTGAGCGAACAGAGATATTTTATCCCCCTACGAAGTGCACCTGTTGGAGAATGGCTCAGAGACAAGGGTCCTGAGCCCACCGAGCAATTGTATGATCAGAGCCTGCTCTAGCTGCTGATGCTGAGCCTCACTAGGGTTTGCCTGCAGCTGCTCGCAGCTGCTGATACAGGAGGAATGTCAAGGACGCTTCAGCCCTGTGTACCGTGGTGTGTCGAAAACAGGTTAAGGGGAATTAGGAATAGTGGTCTGAGAAACCCAGTGTTATGGTAACGGTGGTCTGAGAAACATTGTGTTACGGTACTGTCGTGTATTGAAAACAAGTCAATAGGAATCAGAAATAGTAGCATGAGAAACTTAGTGTTATGAGAAGCTTGTGCTGTAAGCTAACTGCAAGTAGGTGGGCCGTGCGAATACGACCTTTAGAGCTTAAGCCAATCAGCTAGTGACTAGTAGGCATAATAATTATCATTGTCTGTATAAATATATGTACCCTGGACCAATAAACACACACGTTGATTGATGCTCTATCTCTCACACTGAACCCGTCTCGGCGTGTCGTTCGTCTGCGGCTCCGCATGCACCTTCACATTTGTCGAGTTGGAATAAGGGATATCATCCTGAGCTAAAAGCGTGCCAAAGAAATTTGGCAAAATACAGATTGCTTTATTTAACACCTGTGTGAAAGGATGGAAGGAAGGGCAGGCAAGGGATGTTTCCGGAGCTTCTGTCTTCTTGCCTACAATTCTTATCAATTCAAGTTTTCTTAGATCGTTTAAAAACACACCATAGAAATGAGATAAGAGAAAAACAGAGCAAGCATCTGTCATGCCAAAGGGACCCAAAGCGCTCTCCCTCTGCCAAGGCCAAGCACATCTTCCTGGAGTGGATGTGGGCCCAGTCCAAATGACTGTCGCTCCAACACGTGAGTGAGGGCATGCTGCACTGCTGTGCTAACAGGCATTTACAGCCCTCTTGACCCTGTCACTCCCCATAAATCCATACCTATTTGTGTGCTCATTTCACCCTATTTATTCTCTGGCAGGTCAGATATGAGATGCAGTGTTCATATCATGAGGCTAGTGAGAAACCAAGGCTGGGGTAATGGGTAACATCAAAATGACTTTATTAACAGAGCAGAGAAGAGAGCTCCTGTGGGGAAGCCACCTGCCCTGGAAAATAATCTCAAGTTTGTTGTGGATTCATTGTGCAGCTTAAGACACACCAGGAACTCTCCTTTTGCCTCAGTTTTCCTATCTATGAAATAAGTATAAAGGAAAATTAGATTAAATTAATGGCTAGTAAGTGCTTTAATATTATTTGCCAGAGATTTTAAATGTGATTCTGATGGTAATTCCTTAGTATAAACTTATTCTATCTTCAAAGCCCTTTTTTAACTTCTTTTTCACTTTCCTCTAGGTGGAAGAGATTATGACTTCTGTCAAAGAACAGGAAGCCATCAGGAAGCTCATGGTTTTCTTGCAGGAATGGGATAGTGCCCACAGAGTTGATCGAAGCCGCATCCTGGACAACTTCATTAAAAGCAATGATGGCAAGACAGAACCAGAGCTGGAGCTGGAGTTCTCCCAGGGAGCCAGCTTGTTTCTGGCTCGCCTAACAACATGGCTCAGGATGACGTATCTGTTTCCTTGGGCAGCTGGAGGTGGCGTGAGGTAGTGGGCTGGAGAGGAGGGGGGAGTTCTCTACCAAAAATTTGTTTAAAGAATAAGCTTTGGATATTGGAAATATCCATATCCAGCTGTATTCTGTAGGCTTAAAAAAAAAAAAAAAAGCTATATGAAGATGGGACTGAAGGGAAAGCCATACAACCTGCCTCTCAAGGACCTAGAATTAGTGGTTTTTCTCACATTTTGATGAGCGTGCTGCCTCTGCCCATTTGTGAGAGGAAGCTCCCTGCTGTCTTGCAGAGAGTACCCAGTTTAGACCTCCACACTGTCAAAGGCAGCCTGGGGGACACCACGATGGCCTGTAAATCTCTCCTTAGCCTTCTCAAACAGCTACATGTACAGCACGTGCCTCAACAAGCTGCTCAAGTCCATTGGCATCTTCTTATCTGCTGCAAGTGGGTGAGTATAGAATGTCACCGTGTGAGAAGTGCTGCAGGGAAGGCACACAAGGGCGTGAGGGTGAGTAGATAAAATAACAAGTCCTTGCCCATCTTTTGGGAGGGCTGTGTAAGCAGTTCAGACAAGGCAAACCCCAGTGAGGCTTGCAGTAGGCACTTCGAATGCGTGCTCTCAAAACCAAATCCACTGCTTGGGCACGTCTCTAGAGCCACCGGCTCGCTGACACGATGTGGAAGGAGTGTGGTGAGAGCCTGAGTGCAGAGATGGGGCTTTCTGTGCCTGTGGTTCAATATCTGAAATGAGCACAGGGTAAAACAGGAGCTGGTGACCTGCTGGCAGCAAAGCGTGCTGCTGGTGGGCACCTGCCTCTGCACTCCAGGATGAGCCTCCCTGTGCTCGCTGCCCATACACCAGGCACCTGCTGCCGCAAGGCAGGAGGTGATGGTCCCCAGGAGCACGCCGTGCTGACAGAGGGAGATGGTTCTCCAAGGCGGGTGACACTTTTGGTTTTGTTTCTCCTATCCTTGCAGACACAGATACCTGACTGAATTTCTGGAGATTGGAGGTGTCGTGATTCTCCTGGAAATACTAGGGCTGAACCACCTGAAAGAAGAGGACAAAAGGGAGTCTGTAAAGCTGCTGCAGCTCATCGCAGATGCTGGCAGGAAGTATAAGGAGCTCATTTGTGAAAGCTACGGTAGGCAGCTTGTCCATCCGTGCTTTTTGCTAATTCAGGCGAGGATGTTCTCCCTGACCTCTGGCCGCCGGGGCTGCTTGCTGCGCTGAGCCACTCCCTTCCCTCCTCCTGCCGGATGGCAGACTGCCGCAGCGTTTCCCTGGCTTGAAGGAGTTCAGAGTCTCAGCTATTGTTGAGCAGCTGCATTTCATCCCCTCTCCGTTTTTAATGAGCTCGCTTTCTTTACAGTCATTTCTTTTGATGCGATATTGCTGTCCTGCTGGTGGCAACTACTCCAGTTAAAACCACAAAACAGCTTCCGTTCCTACCTACAGCGTTCACCTAATGCAAACTTTCCCGGACTTCCCCTCTGGAGGTGGGAAGGAGCTTGTATCTTTTGAAAGAGCATTACAAGGGGTTTTTTTTCCTGTTTTTCCTCTTGGACCATGGAAGCCAAACCCCATTAGTTGTTATGTAGTTCAGATTACCTTGTCAGAGGCTGTGGGGTGATACCTGCCCTCACAGCTTCCCCCAAGAGAGACAAAGTAGCAGGATCAGCAGAGGGATCCCTAACAGCACTGTTGATATCCCAGCGCCACTGTAAACACCCGCAGAAGGGCCTTGGCCACCTACTCCAGCTGAGAATTTTGCCAACTGGTTTGCCAGTTGGTTGTGTGGCTCCTACAAGGACAAAGAACTTTTTTTCCTGGCTTCTGTTTGTCAAACCGTATTTGGGGTGGGGTTGTGGGGCTGGGATTTCTCAGGGGTGACAATGAAACAGCTGAGACGGGTGGCCCAGACTCCTCCAGGCACACGACTCGGCATCTCTCTCTCTGCACAGGGGTGCAATCCCTCACCGAGTTCCTGGCCACTTCCGACTCAGCGGAGGCTCAAGAAGATGTACAGGTGCTCCTGGACTCCTTGGGCCACGGCAATCCGAAGTACCAGAACCAAGTCTACAAAGGCTTCATCACTCTGCTGCCGTGCACCTCCCCTCGAGCCCAACAGCTGGCCCTGCAGTCGCTCAGGGTCATGCAGGTGGGTGGTGGGCGAGGGGCAGCGTTACCCTCGGTGCCCTGGCCGGAGCTGTGCCAGCCTCCTTGGCATGGGGGGTGTTATAAATTGAGACCACAATGGATCATAATCCAATTATAATTTTATTAATTATAGCAAGTAGAATATGAGCAAAGACAGCGCTGGACGGCAGGGGAGTCTGCGCTCCGCCAACTGCCGTACTGATCAGTTCAAACAGTTCCTTTTTATACATTTTTACATCCGTGGTTGTCTTTGATCAGTACCCCTTCTGCTTGCACAAGTATCTGGTTTGTGTAAGCAATTGCGGTTATCTCACGCAGTCATCTTGTCTCACAGGTTATCTTGTCTCACACAAGCGGTGTCTGGCAGCTATTTGCATAAGCAGTTTTTTTGTCTTTTGCCGCCTAACCTTTACATTGAGCTTAACATAAATTTCAATAAACAATACCCTTAGTTCATAGTTTCTTACAGGGGGGCTGTACCGGGCAGCCCCTGGAGTACTGCGTGAAGACTGTTCCTGTCACTCTGCCCTTTTCCCCTCAGGACGTGGCGGGAGAGGTGCCCTCTGCCCTCGTGGGGCCCGTGCTGGGCACGCTGGGCTCCGCGCACCTGGAGGTCCAGTATGAAGGTAGGATCCCTCTAGCCACCCTGGGCGGGGGGGCGGCGGGGCGCGGGTGAGGCTGTGGCTGGGGTTGGCCGCCTCTAGGCCTGGGCAAGCGCGGCGGGGACACGGGAAGGGCCGGTGGGGACGAAGCGCGGGAGAGGAGGGGCGGCTGCGGAGCCGCGGAGGTGCAGCAGGGCCGCGGCCGCGCGCGGCTCATTAGCATGCAGCTCGTTAGCATTCGCCTTATTTGCATAACCCAGGGGGCACCGCGGAGCGGCAGCGGCGGGCGGCATTACCGGCGCCTTACCGGGGCCGCCGGGGGTCGGGCCGGGGCCGGGGCCGTGTGCACCGCCGGGGGCCGGGGCCGGGCGGGGCGGCGAGGGCCGTGCCGGGGGTCGCCGTGTGCTGCGGAGCGACAGCCACGAGTGGGTATATGTGCGAGGGGGGGTGTCAATCATACTCCGGTTTCTCTTCAGATCGTATAAATCTTTCGCCTTTTACTAAAGATTTCCGTGGAGAGGAACAGGCATGAGTGTTGAGAAATTTTTTGAGGCTCCATTTCGGTGGAGCTGCCCCTTTTCTGGTTAAAAATAGATCCGAGCGAGAGGAAGGTTGAGGTGGGAAGGGAACGGCTCCGGTGCCCGACCCGGCCTGGCGGCCGTTTCGTTACCGGCGTCTGGTTAAAAAGATGGAGCGAACCATCGCGGGGTGTGTGTGTGGGGGGGGTTGTCTGGGGCGGCCAATTCGCCCGGCCCGGCCGAGGCATCGGTGCCGCTGCCTGCCACGATGAAGCGTTTTGCCGGGGCCCTGCAGCGGGTCCGGCCGCCGCCCCGCTCACCGCCGAGCCCCGGTCCGTGGCGGCGGGGGCGCGCGGCGGGCTCCCGCCCCACCCCCAGCCGATTTCCCCCTCCTGCCAGGGGCGGGGCGGGCCGCCTCAGCTGCGCGATTAGCATACCCAGGGTGCAGCGCGGCAGCGCCGGGCACCGTCTCGCGGGTCACCGGCGGCCCCGAGCCGGCCACGCCGGTGGGCTCGGGGTGAGAAGCATGTGGGTAGTCGCGGCGAGCCGGTGTCCCGCGGAGTGGGGTGGCGGGGGGAGAGTAGAGGGGGTCGCCATGTCTGTAGGGGCGACAGGCAGAGGTGGGTACGTGCGCGGGGGGAGCACAATGTATACTCTGGTTTCTCTTCAGATCGTATAAATCTTTCGCCTTTTACTAAAGATTTCCGTGGAGAGGAACAGGCACGAGTGTCGAGGAATTTTTTGAGGCTCCATTTCGGTGGAGCTGCCCCTTTTCTGGTTAAAAATAGAAAAAACTGGGAGGAAAGGTGTGTCCGTGGTCGGTTCCGCTCCGATCCCGGCCAGGCCCCCCCCCCCCCGTGCTGGCCGAGCGGGGGGAGCCAGGACTCGCTCCCGGACCGGCCCCGCCCGGTACGGTCGCGGCGCCGCTCGGGCCCCTCCGCGCCGCTGCCGCCTCATTAGCATGTCGCTCATTAGCATTCGTCCGGTTTGCATACCCAGGGTGCCCCGCGGCTCGGCGCCGGCCCCGCCGATTCCCGCCGCAGCTGCCCCCCCCGGTCCGAGCCGCGCGGGTCTGCGCGGCGGCGGCGGCAGCGGCGGTGGCGGGGCCGGAGCGGAGCGGAGCGGGCACCGCGGGGCTGAAGTCGCCGTGAGCTGTGGGGTGACAGCCACGAGTGGGTACGTGTGCGAGGGAACATGTTAGTTATACTCCGGTTTTTCTTCAGATCGCATAAATCTTTCGCCTTTTACTAAAGATTTCCGTGGAGAGAAACAAATACGAGTGTCGAGAAATTTTTTGAGGCTTCACTTACGTGGAGCTGTCGTATTTTCGGTTAAAAATAGAGTAAATGTTTCCGCGGTGCTTAAAACCACCCCTTCCCCGTATGTCTGGGCTCGGGGTGGCCCTTGCCGTGCCCTCTCCCCGGCAGGTATCCCCAGCCCCCGCCTCTCCCCACCAGCCCGTCTGAACGGCGGGTCCCGGTGCTGCCAGCGGCTCCCCTCTCCTCCAGCCACCCAGCTCCTGAAGGTCCTCATGGCTCACCAGGTCCGGCCAGCCCTGCTGAAGGACCTGGTTGCGTTACTGACACCACCCAGGAAGAAAGCGCTGACCTTCTGCGACCAGACCTCCGAAGGTGCAAGGGCTGACCATGGCCTCCTGGTACACGGCAGGCTGTGGCTTGCCGGGGCACCCGGGGGAGGGGGGTTTCTCCCATCTCCTTCCGTGGGCTTGAGCTGTCACCCCGACTCGTAGGGGAGGAGGTGCAGGGGCCTGTCCCCTAAGGCTTGGGGCACAGCAGCAAGGGCTGCCCGGCTGCCTGCAGCACTGACGCTAGCGTGCAGGCCTCCAGAGGCCTGCTGAGGTCTACTGTCCGCTGGGCGATGTTGATGAACAGTTCCAGCCCCGGGTTTTTCCTCCCTCGACTCAGCAGAGCAGGCTGCCGTGCCCCAGGCTCTCTGAGCTGTGAGCATCATGCCCACAGATCCTTGCAGGGTGCTAGGTATGATAAGTAGCCATAGGGTTTCCTTAAGGTGTGTCTCCTGAAAAACTACATCCTCTTTTCATGCTAGCAGTGTAAACTGCACCTCCCCTCCCTTCTAACATCTTAGAAGTGTTTCAAAGCACCATTCTCACCTTCCTAATGTTCCTCACGCAGACCCAGCTGCACTTTGCCTGAGGGACCCTGTGCTGGAGTATATTCAGCAGGCAGCTGCCGCAAAAGCCATTGGGTAAGAAACTCTGCAGCATAATCTACAGGAGTATAAAAGGGACTTTATAGAAGCGGCTTGCTTTGGGCAAAAAAGGACTGGGACACATTCCTCCCAGGGAGCAGTCACCCTATCAGCTCTGGCACTGCTCTCTGGCTGAGTACCCTGCTCAGACCCCTGTACAAGGCTGTTTGGAGATGGGGTGTATTCAGGAATTGGGCAGAGCTACTGTGTGGTGGGTTGACCCTGGCTGGACACCAGGTGCCCACCAAAGCCACTCTATCACTCCCCCTCCTCAGCTGGACAGGAGAGACAAAAATATAACAAAAGGCTCGTGAGTCGAGATACCTCACCAATTACTGTCACTGGTAAAACAGATTCAACTTGGGGAAATTAGCTTAATTTATTACCAATCAAATCAGGGTAGGATAATGAGAAATAAAACAAATCTTAGAACATGTTCCCCCCACCCTGCCCTTCTTCCTGGGCTTAACTTTACTTCTGCAGAGCTGTTGCTCTCACATTCTCACTCCTCTCTCCAGCTGCAGTTGCTGTCATGCAGCAACTTCTCCCCCTTCTTTAATACATCACCCCAGAGGCGCTACCGCCATCGCTGATGGGCTCGGCCTTGGCCAGCAGCGGGTCTGTCTCGGAGCCGGCTGGTGTTGGCTCCATCAGACATGGGGGAAGCTTCCAGCAGCTCCTCACAGAAGCCGCCCCTGTAGCCCCCCCTGGTACCATAACCCTGCCACGCAAACACAATACACGCTGCCTGCAGGTAGCAGTGCTCAGACCCTCCCTGCTGCTGACATTGGAGACGGCTTGACGTTTCATTTATAGGGAGATGTGGAATCCCATCTGCTCTGGCCCTATGTGCTGTCAGTACCCCCTTTATGGCTAGGCCTGGAAGCAGTGCATGTGTCCTGCCACAGCACAGGGCTGAGGGGTGCTGTATTGCTCAAGGCCACTGTGTTCCCCACATAGCTGGGAGCCACAGCGAGCAGTGAAACACTCTTGTTTAACATCAGACACCCAATGGAATAATCTAGTGCCTATGATTGACTGCAGAATCCTCAAGGAAATTCAGCCGTTTGTGCTAAAATTGGTTCATTCAGCATGAATTTCCTACAGTGACCACAAGATAGTGCTATCAGAACACTTTTCCTGCAAAAGCAGGTGCCAGAAAGCCCTTGCTGGGAAGGGAGACACTGGAGTCTTCCAGGGGGATGCTCACAGAAGTAATGGTGATGGTGGTGGTTGAGTCCTGGGTTCTTTATGGTCACACAAGAAACGTGCTAGACTTTAATACACACCGGGAAGCTCCTGCCAATCATTAAACAATTGGTCCTCAGCAAAACCACACATGAAATGATTGCTAATCCATGCACAGCCAAATATTTCTTATTTTGAGATTCTCCTGTCTGTCAGCGCTGCTAGGGCAGGGCAGGAACACATCATTTTCCATTGGGGTCACACCAAGAGGCCCAGACTCAATTTGTTGTGTGCTTCTTCCCCCGTATGGCACAGGGGCTGATGGCCTATCTCATTGCAGCGTGTTAGCCAAGGAGTCAGCAGAAGTGGCTGAAGAGCTGATCCAGCTGAAAGTGGTGCATGGCCTGATGGTTGCTGTGGGGAACCTGGACCATGTGGCCAGCCAGAGACACGCCAGCATCTCCCTGGAGGTGAGCATGGAAGTACCTGGTGACACACACCATAGCACAGGGTCTGCTCCCTGAGCACCCAAGCAGAAAGGCTCTCTATACTGCATTTTTTTTTTCCTGAGCACAGCAGACACAGGCTTATTCACAAAGGCAGGAGTGACAGTTCCTTTGGGAAAGAGCTCTATTTCCCCTTCTGTCTGCCTCCCTCCTGCCACCCACAACACGTAAGGTGCTTGGAAGCCAACACTGGCCCTCACACCTCTGTTCTACCCCCAGGCTTCCTATGGGTAGCGAGCACAGGCAGAGCTAAGGGGCTAGCCGAGACAACTTGCCTGGAGCAAGACACTAGCACAGAATTATAAGGAGGCTATTTTTTCCTGCTGGTGCTGGGTAGTTTTGGCCTGTCTCAGCACAGCTCTGCCCCTGTGACAGCCTCAGGGGAAGAACACAGCAGTAGATGTGAAGGGCTGAATGAGTGGTAGCTGAGAACCAGGCTGCTGAGGGTGACAGAGGGTTTGCAAACCTACCTGGTAAAGACAAGGGTCAGCACACTCTTCCTCTGAGCAGGCACCGACAGCAGAGCAGGATGAACTCCCTGGCAACTACTGCTTCAATCATTTCACTAGAACACCCCCCTCCTCTTGTCAATGAAGGTGGGAACTGGCACTGGGGGTAGGGCAGGGGGGAACAAGGTGAGGCTTGAGCAGGGACCCACAAGTTCTCTCTGTGTTCATGAAGTGCCAGCAGTAGCACCAGTGCTGAAGGGGGTGGGCCAGGGACTCACAGGCTCTCTGGAGCCACATCATATGCAGCTCTAGCCTCTATACACCCACTCACATCCCAACTCTCTGTTTTGTTACAGTATTTTGTCCACATGTTTCCCTTTGTGGAGGAGTGCGTAAAGAAGACACTAGGACACACACTGTTCCAGCACTTTATGGTAAACATACCTCCCTGGGGGGGTTTATTAGTGGCCCAGAGACCTTGGTCTGTTTTGCAGGAATGTAGGGACTGTATTTCTTATCACAAGAAATCCAGCCTTGCATGAGAGCCCAGAAATAAACCAAGCCATCTTTTGAGAAGTATTCACTGTCCGTCTCGGCGTTCAGGAAGATAAGTGCTCTGCCTCAGCCCCAAGACAGAGCAAGGAGGGAATCTCAGACATTTGCTACTTCTCTGACAGTGGGATAGTCCCGTCAGAAGTATGAGCTGAAATGCCATTGAAGCAAGAGGTGACTTGATCAGGTCCCTCTGCACTCCCGCTCCTGGGGTGGATATACAGGTTAGTATATAGAGGGAAGGTAGAACAAACAAGGGGCAACATTTTGTTCCTTGAACCCAGGCCCATCCTTACTCACCAAAGACACCACTGGGCAAGGCTGGATAATCCAAGTGCAGTAACATCTGACAAGGTACAGGACAGCCTTGCTTTAGTCCCAACTCAGTAGGGCATAACAGCCCTTTTACTCTGGTTGTGCCATCTTAACGAGACAGGCAGAGCCCAGGTATAAGTCAGCCTTGACAGTTCTGAGGCCCTTCAGGAGCTCAGCCCCACACTGCTGCCAGTACCTAAACTGTTGATCAAAGTGCCCCAGCTGTGGGGGGATCCTATCTAGACTGGAAGATCCCTGCTCTAGCTGGCTTGTCACTGCTGCTTGCCCACATCCCATTAAGATCCTAACTATTTTGCTGCCTTTTCCAGGACAGTCCTGAGACCTGGTACACAAAAATGCATCCAGTCCAGGCTGAAGAACTGGCCTCCAGTATAGTAGACATCCCCAGAGACAGAGCAAGGCCACAGTCCACAGGTGTGTGCAGAGCTGGGGGCACAGTCACTTAAATTACACCCTTTACTTTCAAGGGGAGAAGGAAGCTCAGGAAGTAGGAGACCAGAGTGGGGGGTCTAGGGAAAAAGGGAATAACAGTAGAAGGATCTCTTTGTAATCTGGTGTTTGTATAGCTGCATCCTGTGTTGCTGGACTCAGAGCTCACAGGGCTGTTTTGGCCTTTCAGAAAAAAAAAAACAACAAAACTTGGAGTGAGCTGAACAAACAGGAAACAGCGGGCAGCAGCACATGCCTCCCAGCTGTCCTCCCCAGTCTACCTGCTCCTCCCCAGAGGACAGGTTGTGTGGAGCCACCCAGGCCCAGGTTGCACATGAAGGCCATGGCAGCACCTTGCTGCACCTGAGCCACGGGCCAGCTTTGCACTTCTGCCCTCAAATACAGATTTTGGTGGGCTACCGAACATGTCTATTTTATGTGGCATGTTAGCCATGGGAAATATCTGTGAAAAAAATGTAAAGTAACAGCCTGGGGCTATCTTCAAAGCCTAAGTAGACTCCAACAGTACAAGAGAGTCTCAGAGGGCCCTTCCTACTTACCTGATGTCATAAGAGCTGAGCCCCTCACTAGATGCCGAGCTTTGCTCAGGTGCAGGATAGGTAAACTCTAAACCATCTTCCCACTTGCTAGGCAAGTTCTACCCAGCAGAATCTCAAAATGAAGGGTGATTTTTATGCAAACATTACAAGTGTAAAGACTTTAAAAAGAAACTTCATCCAAGAAATCAGCCTATCTCTACAACACCAGCCAGTCTTTATGGACTGTTAGACTTTACTAAAATCAGCAAGAAATATATTTTATAAGATAGAAGATAATTAAATCCAGGAACATTTATTTATCAAACTTCTTAAAATACTGATTTTTTTACAATTACATATAGTCCACATTCTTTAGAAAAGCCAGACTTGCAACAGTTTTGCAATGTTTCAAGCACATCTGGAAAGGTTGTATGTACACTAGAAAACTATACACGTGTATCTAGTTCTATCAGAGGAGACCATTGTCACTAGCAAAGGGCCAGATGCTAGACACATCTAGCAGACTCTCAGCCCCCCTGCCAAGCCTTGCAGGGGGTTTTTCTATCACTCTCTACCGAGTACCCTGGCCGTGAAGAGAGGCTGCCATGTTCACTGCCCCCAGGCACACATGACCCACAGACACTCTACCACATTTAAAACAGGAGTTACACAAACCACTGACAAACATGCAAGACATACAGAAGACTGCTTGTGAATCAGGTTTTGCTGTATTTACTAAGGCCTCTGCCATCTCATCTGCTTGCTGGCTTGCTCCTCCAGCTGCATGGCAGTCCCCAGGGCATCCAACGTTTCTGTAAAGGAAGACAGTGACAGGGTGGCTGACCTGGAAGCTGAACTCCCCAGGCCAGCTGTCCCCCTTAGCAGAACTCTGCAAGGGCCACAGAGGAAAGCAAACTGGGCAAGAACTGCTCAGCCAACATAAAATCCTTCCTGGTCCCACAAAGCTCTTCAGCTGTACCTGTTTATTTCTACTCATCAACAGTTTCAAGCCTGCAGTTTGCAGTTCAAACTAGATGCCACTAATCCAACCACCTCAGAGGGCCAGCTTTCCCTGGGCTGGGAAGCAAAGAGGGTAGCAGGGCATTTACTCTTGTTATCCTGTCACCACTCCTCCATGGTGAATGAAGGGATACCGCACTCGGGCTACATTTGAAATGGAAGGACAGCCAGGGCTGTTTAAGAAAAGTCACTACTTCAGGTTAACAGTTCACTCTGATGCTACAATTTTCAGCCTCATTAAAATAAAAAACCCTCACAGCCCTGTTTTTGAGGCAAAGACTATGCCAGCTGTAAAGGCTCAAGTGGCAAAGCCCAAGTTATTGCAACAGTGGCAAAAAAGTAGCAGTTAGCAGTGTCGCTTCCCCTGTTCTGGTCAGGCAGCTTCTGCGCTTGGCACTCTGTTACCAAGCTCATATGTTTGCTTTGCTGCCTCTCCACCATCACTGCAACCAGCATGGTCCAGACAAAGTCCGGCAGCACTCAGGGAACAGGCAGCTGACAGCCTCTTGCACACAGCTGGGAAGTCTCCAAACTGGGTTGGAACTGAACAGTTGGAGGGATTTTGTTGCACATTATGTAATGCCTGATATTAAGGCAAAGGCATGCCAAACACAGGTGCTGACATCTCAGCATACACCTGGCAGACACTTGTTTTAAGTGGATGGGTTAAGGCCTGATACCCATGAAAACAGGAGTGGAAACAGTGGGCGTACTCCTATGAGCCCCTAGAACATATTTGTCAAAGTCTGGTTTTTGGCCAAGACAAAACAGTAAACTATATAACCAACTAGTCAAACAGACTTCAGCTCATCTGCCGTTGGTGGATGCTTGAGGGAATACAGTTTTGTATGGCAGTGCCAAGGAAGTGGAAGTTATTATTAGTCAAAATTTTACTTTGGAAAGTGCAGAAATAGGACATTTTGGATCTGTCCCTCTGATCACCTAGGAAAGTGATCTGAACCATAAGCTATGCAGAAGGACTGAGCACTCAAACCTTCACAGGTATGCTGGTGTCATTTTCAGGTCTTTGAAGAAAACAAAACAAAAAAAAAACAAACAAACCAAAACAAAAACCCACAAACAAACAAAAAACCCAACAACATTAGTGACAGTGCTAGTCGGAAACAGGCACTAACGTACCTCTGACACTAAGGAAGTCTCTTGAGCTCTCCTCTATGAAGTGCTTAGCTCTGCTCACAAAGGTCTCGAGATCATAGTCTGGTTTCTCTGTGATTCCCAAGAGGCAGTCAAGTTTAGTCGTCACTCTCTATATTTACAAGGATAACAGCGATCAGAAATTGATTTTCCAGAAATTCAACTAGTTTCTTCAAATCTGGCACACCAATCAGCAGAGCTGAGCTTTTACAGACCAGTACCAGTCAGTGCTCTTTAGCAGCAAGTAGAGATTGCTAGTTGGAGGGGAAGTGGACCACAAGCCACCAGCCACAAGCACTGAAATGCCCCAGTTTAACCAGTTGGGCAGGAAACCACAGGACAAACTTGGCAGTGAGGAAAAAATAACACCATTGACAGCATCTTGCAGTACAGCCCACAGCCTACCCAGCAGCACTTGGCTCAGAGAAGGCAACACGCGATCAACATGTAGAAGGCAGCCTGGGCTGGACTTGCCTCTTCTACATACCTGTCTCAGTTCCCTAAGCTGTTCCACAACCTTCTCCTCCCATTCATTAATTTGAGCTGTAGCCTCATGAAAGTTGAGCATGTGGGGAGAGATATCTTCCTCCTCATCCTTGGAGAGCTGCAAGAAACAGCCCAAGTAAGAACAGCAAATTGTTTCCAGCACTGAAATCTGTTCAGCTCACTGCACACACATACATTGTGACCTGAGCCTTCTCCGCTGGTCTCTGTTTCCTCATTCTCAGTCTCCATCTGATTCTGTGTTTCACCAACTCCATTATGAGGGCTGAGTTCTTTCACTCTGCAACAAGATTTGTCACTCAAACTCTTCTTTCAGCAGTTTCTGGGCTACAGCATCACAAAACAGCTACTGCAGTCAATCAGTGCTCAGTAAGAAACACTCAGCTGCACTTAGAGTGGTACATTACCACCCCCAGAACAAGCTCACATGGGCAGAAACCCCAGAGGGCTGTGGGAAGAAAAACTGAGATGTTTGTCTCCATGCCCAATGTAAGACCTCTCCTGGAGAAAAATCTCCAAGTACACAATGTTAATTGCCAGAAACGGCTTTCACAGAAGCTGTCTTCCACATGTCAGCTTAGACCATCATGATCAACTAAGAAAACTTAGCATGGAAAGAAAAGGAATAAGGTTGATTTTTCCCAGAGACCCACTGTGCCAGAATAGGTCTATAATAAGGATAAGAGCCATGGCACTAGAGGTAGATGTCAGATATCAGCTGGGCATTTTATTCCGCTTACTAGCATCAGCTTCATATTTCTAGGGAGTTTCAGCCTAATACCCCCTTTCTTATAGCTTGAACCTGCCTAGTGCATTGGCTAAGAACCTAGTGGGCCCAACTCAAGACTAGAATCTTACCGAAGCACACTAAGTCAGATGCTGCATTTTGTCCTGTACTTTCAGGTGAGCAGGAATGACTGTCCACCAGAAGAAAAAAAATGCAATTTCAATCCAGAACCAAATCTGGGAATCTGTCAAAATTCAGTGTTCCTGAATGCTTGCGACCAGAATTACCATACATCCTTTCAGAGTGGAATGGATTCCAGGAGGGAACCAAGCAGCCTTTTGTGAAGTAAATGAAGGAAAGCTACCAAGCCTGAAGTGTGCAAGTGTCGTCTTGTTAATGTATAACAAAAGGCACAGTCTTTTTACTTGCCAGCTCACTGGAGGGGTATAGAAGCATGTAAAGCAGAGACCAGGAGGTACTTGCTGCTCTGTCACAGGGGTTCCAGGTATCAGCAAGACCCCCAGGGAAAGCTGGGGCTGAGTCCCTGCAAATCTACCTTGCCCTGCAGGTACCCAAGATCAGCCACGGGGCAACTCAAAACACCCTCCCTATAACCACTTCAAGACATTTGAGTTCTCCAGGTCCTTCACATTTTGGCCAAAGTCTCCAACCCTATTAGTTCATACCAAAGCCCATCAAGAACACCAAGTGTTTTGTGCCATTCTTAGCACACCCTTACATGGGTGGGACCCAAAGTACTACGAAAAGTAAAGGGCATGGAGGTAACCATTCAGGACAGGATAAGCTTCCTACAAAAACCAGGGCAGTCTTAAGTCTAGCATGAGAGACTGCTCCTGAGGAAAGGAGACATTAGTCATGGTTTTATACAATCTCTATTATGTCTCCCACAGAGAACACCCAGCTTAGTTTCATAAGACAGCTCTAAAATAATTTGCTCCTAGCAAACAAACTCCAAATTGCCATTACAAGCAACAACAAGAGAACTTGACATTCCAAATGTCAGAACAAAAGCAGCTAAAACACTTTCTGCAACAAGAGTAGAATCCCCAGGTCAGAAAGGCCATTACCTGTCAGCATATCTCAGCGTGTTTAAGGTGTACTCACACGAATTCATGCCTGGAGAAATCATTGCTATCTGCAGACAGAACAAAATACCTCAGTGACTCCCACATCTGACTTTTACTCATGTTAATGGTCCTACAATTCTCACCAGGCAGCTGCGACATGTTAGGGCAAAGGGTCAGAGTTAAAACATTCTGCCAAGAGCATTTCTCCTTATAGCTTCTGCAGGACATGCCAGTGGTCCTGTATCCAGCTTTCCTCTGGCTTTGTGCTCCACCCACCACTGTGCTGCAGCCTCCACAGAAAGCAAAGCCCTTCAAGAGCACACCAGGCTCTACTGTAGATTCACTGTGTGAAAGGGACTTCTGCAGCCCTGCTTCTATTGGGGCTGGGCAAAGCTCACCAGTTTTTCAACTCGATCACCATGGGTGAGTGGAAGAAGAAACTGTATGACATTTTTTTGCACAGAACTGAAGCTCTCTGACTTCAAAGTCCCCTTACTCTAGAAGAACATACAGCTGTTTGGTCACAAATAGCGACCAAGCAGTGTGTGTGTTTGTGCCACATGCATACTCACCATACAGGTCCTTGAGTTTGTTCCTATGAAAGAGTCTCTCAGCACCTGGGTCAGCTTGCTCTCCCGGAAAGGGGTATGAGATTTGTTTTGTCCTAAAGCTCGGATACATTCCTAAGAAAAGACAAGCCTTGTGAATGCAATATCTGCATCTCTTCTCAAACAGCTCTGAAAGCTTTCAACCACCAACTGCTGGTAAACCCAGACTGGAGAATGGTCATCTTGATTGCTCTATAAGTACTTCACAGTCTTTTAAATATACTCCAGGATTTTGACTGTCACAGGACAGCTAGTATGTCCATCATATGTTAAAAACCAAAACAAACTAAAAAACTAAAAACAAAACAGCAAAAAACTTGAATTAAGCTTGAAATGGCTGTACCCATATCTGGCCTGACAAGACTGCAGTGCTTTCCTGGAAGCATAAACCATTTTCAGGGTTGTTAATGTACTAAACTAGGATCTTTTTGGCTGCTCTTTTCCCTTGCACTGGAAAGAAACAGAACAGATAACTAGAGTTGAAAAGTCCATGTGTTGATTAGCACTATTTGCTCCCAGAGTTATAGCTCACCTTCAAAGCCAGTAAGCTCTTATTGATTTCTGCACCTTCCATTCGTGTCTGCCGATCAGCACTACACGTGTCTGCACCCCTCTCATTTCCAGCCAGATCCACCAAGGAAAATTTGCCAAGCAGTTTACTTCTTTGGCGTAGTATGATTTGGAAGCAGGCATGTGACCGTGAAGAGCTAGCATTTGCAAAAGTCTGCCCAGATGTCCTACAGCAAAGATGAAAACAGGAGTTAGAACTGTGCCACAGAAGATGCAACAGATCCCAAAAGCACTAGAGAAGATCTGCAGCCATTCAATTACATTGTTTAGCCTCATCGGTTTTATCCCACACATTAATACCTCAAGTTTGCATAAATTGTGGAATTACCTCTGATAAAAGAGTACAGAAAGACTACTGTGAGAAATACGAACCTGCACCCCAGTTGTAGAGATTTGAGGCTATTTAATCTGCCTGGCTCAGCTCAGCCAGCCTACCCTGGAATGCCTTTCTGACTGCTAATGCCTTACCTGCATTTGGAGCTGGAAAACATGCCTTCAGCACTGCATCTCTGCCTCAGAGCAGAGCACATGTCATTCTCCTAATGCATCTGCCATTGCACAGTAAGCTCAACCAAGCTCCCCACTAAAGAGCATTAGCTGAGCTGGCACATCACAGTCACAGTAAATCCCCTTTTCCAGACAACCTAGCTTGGCACTTTGCCTCTGCTGTGCGACCACATCTGCCCCATCACTGCAAGACACAGACTGGAGTCTTCTAAGTCACCACAAACCTCCTTGTGACCTTCACTATCAGTTATTTCCTGAGAAGGCTGGCAGGTTCACTGTCCCACCTGCATCCCTACTGCTGGAGGGAAAGGAGGTAAGACTGCCCTAAAGTGAGACAGGAGTCTGAAATGTTAAACAGTTTGGCTGAATGGTCAGCCAAAGAAGCATGCACAGCTGCATGAGCTTTCAGGATGTACATCTGTACATGCAGTGTAATACAGAAGCCAAGGAGTTCTTGTTTGCCTAGCAATGCTTCCATAGCAGTTGTAACTTAACTGAGACAGATAAGACTTGGTAATACAGACTTTAGCTCCTGATTAAAGACACCAGTATGATGGTAGAGTTGCCCTGACCACAGCGTTCCTGCTGGGATGAGCCCAGCCTATGGTTGCCCCTTGGCACCTGCTCTCCAGGATTCTTTAGACAGGATCCCTGAATGACATGAAGCATTTTTGTTGCCATTGGAATAGCTCATCAGTCCTGCAGTTAAGCCAAAGCATTTTTGCAACTCCATGTTGATGATGGCAGCTCTTCCTTGATCTTACAACCCCACAGGGAGCTACTTATGCTCCTGTAAACTAGCTGATACTTCTAAACAAGCACCAGGACAACCATCTCCTCATTTGAATAATTTGTCTCTTCTTGGACTTACATGAGGACTCACGAAGCATGAACTCTGACCTTCTCTATGGAAGGCAGGCTAAGCCCATCCCTGCTAGCCCTTTATTCTGTGACCATCCTGTTGTATTCATGCAGAGGTGCTGCTCAGTGCCTGCTTATTGCTGGGAACAAGCTTCTGTCTAAGCCTCAAAGCACCAGCTACAGACATTATATATTTTTTCTAGGCATGGAGATACAACAGGACATGACTCTTATTGGTTTTAAGGCACCAAACCTGCAGGCACTGCCCATCTCAATCATTCTGATGACATCCTCAGCACAGTTGACTTGTCTTTCTTGGAGACCAACAACCTGGACCTGCTGTTTTCCATCCTCCAGGACTCGAAGCTTTGCCTTCTTATTCAAGAGGTCAAACACCTATATTCAGGCAAGAAGATTGAGGCAAATCTGAAGAAATTATCTTTGTAAGTATTTTGCGCTGTCTTTCTATAAAGTCATAGAATCAGTACCTTTAACATAGCCTTCTAATTCAATTCCAAACAACAGAACATATAGAACTATAGTAAGTTTCACTCAGCTACTTATGAAACATTCAGCCAAATAAATCAGGTCAAGAATTAAAAAAAAGTCTTACCTTTCCATTGTATATTTCAAAGAAAGTCACATAGACTTCCAGGTCCCGATTCCTGTACCTGGGCTGGTTTAGGAGGAGGAAAACATCTTGTGCTAGTGAGGAAAGGCAGAAGTTTAGTTAACTAGGTTTAAAACACACTCTAGTTGCTACTTGATTTACTTTCAACTATGGTGCGGCCATAAGGCAGTGTCTAGCAGCTAAATGGCAGTCATCCTAAACAAATGAGAGTGAAACCATTAGTGCTGTGCTACCATCTGGAGCAGCATCCTCACCCAGGGACTGAAAACACAGGGGGATATGGAAGTTCCTGCTGCTAATGTCACCCACAGACAGCAATCGTTACCGATCTGGGGAGCATTGGGATGTGCTATTGTTTTGGACAGGCCTGAAAAAAAAAAAAAATCATGTATGTGTGTTTCAAGCACTTCTTGTGGAAAGCCTAGAAAACACGCATCCCTGAGCATCTGCACTGCTGCTGTTTGGAGACAATATACCAGATCACTTGACCCTTTGGCTGGATCCAGTGCAGCTTTTCACAGTTAGGCTTCAGTCTTCTGAAATGGAGCTGAAAAGCAAAGACTTTCCCCTTCAGGACCAGTCATAACTAATTTTCAGAGACCAGCAAACAGTTGCTTTTGTATCAGTTGCTTTGCTACACAGACTAGTTTCACAATATGCCTTTCTAAAGGTAAGGTAGAAGAGGTCAGGGTTCATGGTGCTTTCTAGGCATTATATCAAGGAGGGGCTTCTAAACATCTGTTTTCTGAAATAATTTTGTATATGCTAGGTTTTTGACATCTAATGGTTTCAGAAAGAAACATAACACATACATTCATGCACTTTCTGTATAACAAGCTTTGTATCAGAAATGAGAAGGGTTGTGTTGCATTGAAGTCAGATATTTCCAAACACCATCCTTAGTCTGAGACAAAAGCAAAGCAGAAGAATCAAAATTAAATGGTTCAGCCCAGCAAATGCCAAACTAGAAAATATGTAATCTCTTTGTGTCAAAAACAAACATCTTCTGGCAAGTTAAGCGTGGATCTAGAAACTTACAGGCTGGATGGAAAATATTTTGTGAAACTGAAAAAAAGGAAGTCATACCTCCTGCAAACACCAGAACTTATTACTGAAAACACAAATACTTTATGTATCATCTACTGGAAACTTTTTAAATAACCATACAAAACCAGGTCTTATCTATTTAAGAAAACCAAGCGCTAATTGGATTTTCATATCTAAAGAAAAATCAACTTACATGCAAAAGCATATATGCCCTTTGAGGCATTCTGTGCTCTCCCAGAGAAGTCTCCACCCATAGTCTGTGAGGATAAAATACCAGAGGTAAAGTGTGGTACAAACAAGCCAAGCTACCTGATTTTAGTCTCAAGAACATACTAGGAAGTTACCATATATATATGCTCCAATGTCAGTGAGATGATTAGAACACAGTGCAGTTCAGGATAAAAATCAATTTGCTGTTTTCCTATAAGCTCAGAAAGAAGATCTGGACTGTGCAAAGCAGCAGCTGAATGCCTGTAAGGCTCTGCAGTGCTGAGTCAAAGCAGCTGCTCTTTCAAAGGGAAATGCATGGCATTGACAGTGCAACCAAATAGCCTTTGGTTAGAAGAAACAAAGCCTCATGTTTTAGGACATAGGTTGAGTAACATTTCCACTGCTATTTGCAAGCAGTCATGTGTGATATCAAAACGCATCAAACTTCTAGAGCAGACAATACCTTTAACTCCTTTGATCAAGGTACCTTTAATCCCAACAAAATTGTCAGCTGGTACTATCCTGGTGACTTGCTCTACCACTTTTATATGAAAGAGTCA